CCTCATATCCGAAGCATGACGAGTGACCTCTGACTCGACACATGACGAGTGACCTCAGACCTTCCGAGTGACTTCTGATCCGACGCATGACGAGTGAACTCTGACCTGACGCATGACGAGTGACCTCTGACCTGACGCATGACGAGTGAACTCTGACCTGACGCATGACGAGTGACCTCTGATCCGACGCATGACGAGTGAACTCTGACCTGACGCATGACGAGTGATCTCTGACCTGATGCATGACGAGTGACCTCTGACCTGAAGCATGACGAGTGACCTCTGACCTGACGCATGACGAGTGACCTCTGACCTAACGCATGACGAGTGACCTCAGACCTGACGAGTGACCTCAGACCCGAAGCATGACGAGTGACCTCAGATCCGAAGCATGACAAGTGACCTCTGACTCGACACACGACGAGCGACCTCAGACCTTCCGAGTGACTTCTGATCCGACGCATGACGAGTGAACTCTGACCTGACGCCTGACAAGTGACCTCTGACTCGACACATGACGAGTGATCTCTGACCTGACGCATGACCTCAGACCTGACGAGTGACCTCAGACCCAAAGCATGATGAGTGACCTCAGATCCGACGCATGACGAGTGACCTCTGACCCGACACATGACGAGTGACCTCAGACCTTCCGAGTGACTTCTGATCTGAAGCATGACGAGTGACCTCTGACCTGACGCATGACGAGTGACCTCAGAACTGACGAGTGACCTCTGACCTGACGCATGACTGGTGAGCTTTCACCTGACGCATGACCTCAGACCTGACGAGTGACCTCATATCCGAAGCATGACGAGTGACCTCTGACTCGACACATGACGAGTGACCTCAGACCTTCCGAGTGACTTCTGATCCGACGCATGACGAGTGACCTCTGACCTGACGCATGACGAGTGACCTCTGACCTGACGCATGACGAGTGAACTCTGACCTGACGCATGACGAGTGACCTCTGATCCGACGCATGACGAGTGAACTCTGACCTGACGCATGACGAGTGATCTCTGACCTGATGCATGACGAGTGACCTCTGACCTGAAGCATGACGAGTGACCTCTGACCTGACGCATGACGAGTGACCTCTGACCTGACGCATGACGAGTGACCTCAGACCTGACGAGTGACCTCAGACCCGAAGCATGACGAGTGACCTCAGATCCGAAGCATGACAAGTGACCTCTGACTCGACACACGACGAGCGACCTCAGACCTTCCGAGTGACTTCTGATCCGACGCATGACGAGTGAACTCTGACCTGACGCCTGACAAGTGACCTCTGACTCGACACATGACGAGTGATCTCTGACCTGACGCATGACCTCAGACCTGACGAGTGACCTCAGATCCGAAGCATGACAAGTGACCTCTGACTCGACACATGACGAGTGACCTCAGACCTTCCGAGTGACTTCTGATCCTCTGACCTGACATTTTTCATTTTTGGGTAAACTAACCCTTTAACCCTAAATATGATCAATATAGTGACCCTTAACAACTTCTGTAGTACAAATGCTATCAGAGAATATTCAGTGTTTTTGTGGCACAATTTGTGGTCTTGTAGGCATCTTCTAAACGTCTACTGGACGTCTGACAGATGTAAAGAAATAGACGTCTCTGCGATGTACATGTGCTATCAGGCTAGTCATAAAGCTATTGTCATATGAGGTGATACCAGTAGATGATTTTGATAGCCTGACATGATTTCTCGTTTGATTTGACGTCAGGTCATTAGCGTGTCATAAATCACTCCTGCTGACTCACAACCAAAGTCACACTGAGGTTGCATTACAACATGTTACAAACAAGTTCACAAAGTCTGTCTGGTGCTATCATTAGCATACGGACACAACAAAGAATAATGAATGTTTTAAGTAAAGGCAATACTGCAAAACCTTAAAGATAAGTCTTTAAATTTAGGGAAATCATATATTATAGGCAGTGGAACACCAACATACCGTCAAAAACACTTTACAAACAGGCTCAAAGCTTTTAATGGGCCAACATGCAAACCTAAAAAAGGTTTAAAGCAGGAAATGTCTCGATGTACTGTAGTCAAATAAGACATTCAAGACTGGTCAGAGGTGAGACAGCTAAAAAAAAATACAGCTCTGTCTGTGTGTTGCATCATTGTGGGTGAAGAAAGAAAATCTGTGTATGTTTTGGAGAAAGTGGTGTGGATTCCTCTGCCCTCGTTATTCTATAACTCTCACCTCGTTTGTCTTCCAACTCCTATCAAAGTCCAGAGGAGCTGTTTTTTTTTGTTTTTTTTACTCACTCAAGGATTTCACAGCTGTTTCGAATGCAAGCTTGAGTGGTGAAACGTTATTAACTTCCATTAAAAATGTAATATATCACTAAGACCATTAGTAGTACATTCAAAGCTTTTTAATTCACTCATTTTTATATTAGCATTACATCATTCTTCTTCATGACCTGAGCAGATATCTATCTATAAAATGCCTATCGTATTAGTGATGCACAATATTCCGGCCACCATATCGGTATCGACCGATATATGTTCATTTTTAATGTTAATATTTTAAAGCCGATAAATAATGTATCATTTCCTTCAGCTGAGACTCTTCAGATGCGCACTGTTCATCATGATGGATAACTTGAAATATGATTGAAAACACTTCAGAAAGGAAAATACACTTAAGTGCAACACAAGTCTGTCAAATACGCTATATAAAATTAGCATAATTAATTATAGAACATTATAATTGTGTGCTTGGGACATGGCTATTAATGTTGAGACTTGTGTTTTTGTAATCCGGCTCTCAAAAATTATATAAAAATTTGAATTTAGATTTATCAGCCGATATATCGGTTTTTAAAAGAACTATCGGTTATCGTATCGGCCAAAATGTTTATATCGGTGCGTCCCTATTACTATATCGGGTATATTGCGGAATGTGAATATACATTTATCATATCACTATTGAAAATTCAATGATGAAATGCCTGATTGAGAATATAAAGAGTGTGGTTATATAAAGGACGTAGTTGATGTAAAAATGTGTAATAAGCGCAATATCCTGAAATGGTTGGGTTTGTCCAAATTTGACTGTTGAATTAACCATTCTTGATAAATAAACCTGAACCTGGAAAACTGTATTTGTCTTATTTTGTTTGTAATTTGCTTTTTGATAACAAAAATGAGATCAAATACCAAAAAATCACTATTGTGATATATTTATCGTAAAATATGAATTTGGTCACATCGCCCTCCCCAAATCATGATAGTTAAAGTTATGTTACTGAAAGCTTGCAATAAATATCACTAAAAGTGGATTATCTAAATAAAATTATGTATTCATTTACAAATAGTTTAACATGTAAACAGTGAGTGTCAGTGAATGGTCAATTATATTTGTACTTGAATGGTTATACGCTTATGTAAACATTGCAATGAGGCAGATCAACTGTATAACGTTTTATGAGGTAAACATTTAAGTTAAATTGAAATTTGACAGCAGTTTGGAAGTTTTGTATCACTGTTAGGTGAATTTCACTAAAAATATCACTTACATTCGCTGTTTTACAGTTATGTAAACATTGCAGTGAGGTAAGTTCACTTTATCTGTACTTTTAACTGTTTTATGCTGATGTAAACATTAACATGAGGTGAATTAGTACTTCAACTGTTCATAGTCAAGCAGACATTGCAGTTAACGTTAAATGATATGTTTGTTTTACCTGTATGCCAGCGTCATACATTCAAACAGGCGCGTGAGAGTTGGGTCGATGCTCAGTCGTCTCGAACTCAATGGACCGAAACTGTATGTTTGGCAGTCCGGTTTAGTAACAGTGTCATAATTATCGTAATAATTATAAAGAGCTGCGCTTCTCCTCCTGACTGAGTCGCTGTGAGGCGAGGAAACCATGAAATGCCCGCTGTGGATCACTTGAGTCCGCCGGACTGATCCGAATCCCACTCCGGCGTCCACACTGGGCAAGTGATCATCCGGATCCGAATCAGACTCCGAATCCGGTCCGATTTGATTGGGTTCTGCAGTTTCTGAGTACTCTGCCTTTGCCATAGTGTTATTCTCTGCTGTCACGCTGTTCAAATCAAAAGTAGTTCACTGAGAAAAACGCCATCTGAGTGAGTGAGGAAGCGCGTGCACGCTCAGCCCCACTGCAACTTAGTATGCAACAGGTCAAAGATCAAGCGTGATAAAGTGATTAAAACTCACTGATTAAAACGCCACATTGAGCTGTCTCAAACTCTCCGAGCCCGCACAATTGTGTAAGACTTGATCTCTGTTGTGTGGCATTATGTTAGTAGATGCTATTATTAGTAAGAAATTTATTTGATCTGTAAACATGTCCTGGTCTAGTAGAGGCGCGTGCACGCCATGTCGTATTAACACCGTAAACACTGTAAAGCATTCATGTCCTCGTAGAGCTAATCGTAATTTAAATTGTGTAAACTGGGAATCTTCTGACAGCTACTAGTTGTTGTATCACGTGATCGAATAAATAATACATTCTGACCCTTTTTTTAAAATATTATCTGTCTGCATTCACAGCATATCTTGTAAAACAGATCTTTGTATTGTTATATTTATTTTAAGGAAATGTTAATTAAAATTACTATATATATATATATATATATATATATATATATAATTACACTGTTTGTATAAATTATGTAATTTATTTATTTTAATATTATTATTATATTATATATTTATTTTAATGTTATATTCATATTTTAATATTAATTGTTAATAATATTTATTTTAATATATTTGGTATTTTATTTAAAAAACAACTTCTACAAAATGCATACAAAACTAGAAACAATCTGAATAAAAAAAATTAAATTGACTTGAGTAAAAAAATACTTTAAATTAAGGGAACAATATAAAAAATGCGAGTAAATAACTTATATAAACAATAGACAGTAAAACCCGCTCGGAGAAATATTGGACTACAAATCCCATGAGCGCTGAAACCACGTCCGGGTATGTGTGACGTCAGCGGAAGGTTAAAAGTTGATGATTGGCGACCATCCGCTTGGTTTGTATGCGTTTTCTCTGGGATTGAAGTGTTTTAGGTTCAATCTAAGCATGGACGCAGTGCAGAAACACAGATCCATGTACAAAGGCACGACACCACCATGGAAAGAAACATACAGGAAGGTAAATGTCATGTTGATTTGCTTTAGCTCTGGAGAGTCTCACGAAAGCTTTCGACAGCTACAGTACGGTCATATTATGAAATAAGAATCACATTATATTTTGTATACAGAATAATAAATGTTAAATATAATGGCTTTTAGGAACAATTACGTTCTGACATTATTTTCATGCCGTTTAATTGTAAAGTTCCTTATGGCGATACATTATTAATATATTTACCAGCCCAGAGCTTCAAATCTCTCAAAAACTTGCCTAACCGAACCACAACACTTCCCCATACCTTAAGGTATCGATATACATTTGTATCTCAAAAGGTCAAATAAAAATAAACGCACAGACACAGAAATATGTGAATTAGAATGTGAATTTTACATCTAAATTGTTTAAGAATTATAATAAACAAAGTTTAATACAATTTCCCCTGTGATGAAAATATAGTTTTTAATGTTGTTTATGTGGTGTTTTTAATATGCTTTAACACACACCATGTGTAAGTTCATAAGTCGACAGCATTGCTGAGTATTTCCTGCTTAAAACTGCAGTGAACCAAAGACAGTCTCAAAAACACGCTTTGAAATTGCTGGTGTTTCTGACGTCACAAACTGCGGGGCTAATTTGCATATTCATAAAAAATGTTTAAATGTGTACTTTTGGTGATCAAATATGAGTTTTAAGTGGTGAAATAATTGACTTTAACACCATGAGTCTGTTCCCTTGAGAAAGGCTTTAAGATGATCATATAATCTTTGTCTTCCAGCGCTGTGTGGAGCGTCTGAAGAACAGCCGGTCGCGGTTGCTGGAGAAGTTCAGACAGATGGGAGAGGATTCGAGCGGATCGAACCGGTCTCTGCTGGTGCAGGAGGTGATGGAGGAGGAGTGGAGCGCGTTACAGTCGGCCAATCACAGACTCCCGTCGCTGTGGAACGGAGACGGCATCAGAGATGTGCGTATCTGAGACACGCGAACCCTCGTGTCGTTCACACCGGGGTTTTAAACATCACTACGGATATAATGGACTGTCACGACCGTCACACCGTTTGTTTATTTAAATCAAAAACAGTTTATTTAAACATTAAATTAGACCAGAGGTCGCCTTGGGGTATTAAGCATGCGTCAAAACCGCCGCCATCTTGGAACAGGGGTCTTTTCAAAGGAATTAGCTAGGTAATGGTGGCGGACACTTTGTGCTGTGTATGATGTTCACACGAATGAAATCTGAACTAGGAAGAATGTTTTTTAAATCAATGAATCAATCATAAATGCATGTCTGACCGTTGGAACGAACCATAAAAACGAGAAAATTGCATTTATGGCGATTTTATTTCCGTTAGACCTTTGTCAACATTGACGCTGATGCATTAAAGTGGAGGGGCTCACCTGTTCCAAGATGGCTGCTCTATTCGTTCTAATGAAGTGCCGTAGCCAAGGCGACGTCTAGTGTATATATATATCTATGATCAACGGGCAGGAGAGGTTTCTAAACAGTCCCGCCCATAGATATCTACATAAAGGCTAGATATCTCATCCGCGCTGCTGGCCAATGGAGGTCGATGTCAGCACCTGGCGGCCATCTTGTCACAGTCAGCTCGCTCACTGGTAACATAGTTTTAATGCTGCATCACTGTAACTTGCTCAATTTTCTACAGATTCTCAAACGGTCTGGTTTGTTATAAACGGCAGAGATGTAGTTATGATACTGCATACTTATGAATAATAAGTGTATGAATAAATAATAATTCAGAATTATAGCCACGTTAATAATGTTTGTAAGAAACCAAACCGTTTGTAAACCCGTCAAGATTTCAACAAGATAAGAGTATTTCTTACATCAGAAAGCCTGTCTGTGACAAGATGGCCGCCTGTGATGACGATAAATACTCCGCCGTGAGACATCTAGCCTTTATATAGACATCTATGGTCCCGCCCATCAGCTGCTGTCAGACGGACCGAAAACAAACAGCTCCCCCTTCAGACTGGGGGGAGAGAAACGGAATACCCAAAAAAACAATAAATTACTAAACCCATAATCCCTTTTAGGCTGTAAACGAGTTTGGATGCGCATCAGCACAGAGAGATGAAGAGCTCCGTCTTTACGTGTGTGCTCTTCCTCCTCAGGTTTACGCCGCACAGCAGGAGTTTGACGAACTTTCAGCGTTCGAGGAGATTCAGCAGGAGCTCGTAGCGCAAGGTTTGCTTTCCCTCTTTATATCCGCACCAGAAAAACCTGAGATTTCGCTAATCGTGACGTGATGGAAATGCATTGGTTAAAAGTGTTCAATCAATTAAGATTATTTAAATATTTTTATTCAGGAATTATATTAATGGTCATTTTTAAAAAGGTTTCTTCTGGAACAATTGTAGAATTTCTACGGAGGCGTATTGCATTCACTTGAAGAAAACAAATCTACTCTGTTTTTCTGAGTTAACAAGTTAATTATCTCAGAATTACGAGAATTTTTCATGAGAAAAAAAGTTTTTGCTCTGTTTTTGTGAATTAACGAGTTAACTTTTCATGGAAATTTTTATTTGCTCTGTTTTTCTGAAATAATGAGTTAATTTTTCATGAGACAAAAAGTTTTGCTCTGTTTTTCTGAATTAATGAGTTAATTTTTCGTGAGAGAATTTTTTTTGCTCTTTTTCTGAATTAACGAGTTAATTTTTCATGAGAAAAAAGTTTTCGCTCTGTTTTTCTGAATTAATGAGTTAATTTTCATGAGAAAAAAGTTTTGCTCTGTTTTTCTGAATTAATGAGTTAATTTTTCATGAGCAGTTTTCGCTCTGTTTTTCTGAATTAATGAGTTAATTTTTCGTGAGAGAATTTTTTTGCTCTTTTTCTGAATTAACGAGTTAATTTTTCATGAGAAAAGGGTTTTGCTCTGTTTTTCTGAATTAATGAGTTAATTTTTCATGACAAGTTTTCGCTCTGTTTTTCTGAATTAATGAGTTAATTTTTCGTGAGAGAATTTTTTTTTTGCTCTTTTTCTGAATTAACGAGTTAATTTTTCATGAGAAAAAGTTTTTTGGTCTTTTTTTCTGAATTAATGAGTTAATTTTTCATGGAGTTTTTTTTTTCGATCTGTTTTTCTAAATTAACTCGTTAATTCAGAAAAACAGTGCAAAAACTTTTTTTTTGTCATGGAAAATTAACTCGTTAATTAGAAAAACAGAGCAGAAAAAATTCCATGAAAAATTAACTCATAAATTCAGAAAAAACTTTTTTTCCATGAAAAATTATCTCGTAATTCTAAGATAATTAACTTGTTAATTCAGAAAAACAGAGTATTTTTTTTTCTTCAAGTGAAAGCAATACGCCTCCGTAAATTTCTGACAAATATTGAATTGAAAGATTGGATGTAAATGTAATTATTATTAATACTATTGGTATACATGTTTCTATTATTATTGTAAACAATGTATTGAGTTGACTGCAAACACAATTATTCTTTTAATTAAAATATTTGGTAGTGTAGGGAATGTGTTAAAGCCCTGAAGACTATTTCAATGTCTCTCACTCATTAGACAATGTTTTTATTCAGAACTTGTATTTTTGAAAAGGTTTCTCTTGGATTCATTTTAGAATTTCTGACAAATATTAAATTGAAAGATTCAATATCAGGGCTATTATTACTGTGGTTACTATTAGTATACATGTCTGATTTTTGTTCAATTCATGTTCAATTGTAAACTATATATTGAATTTATTGTAATCACAATGTTGTTGATTGCCATGAGTATAGCAACTGCGGCTGATGTGGCGTCAAATCATATATAAATAAATGCGTGTCGATGTGTGTGTCCTGCAGAGCTCTTGATTCTGGAGCAATATAACAGCAGTGTGCGCCATGAAGAACAGTATTTGGACTCGGTGGTGGAGGAAATGGAGACGACGGGTGGACAGATCATATGTCCCATATGTCACGTGTAAGTGTTTGCCATAACCCAATCTTTCCTGCAAAACCCATCTATCTTAATAACATGTAACTGTGTTCCTCTTTCTCTGCAGGAATAATCTGACAGTAAACGGTCATTTTACATCATGTCCATGTGGCCTTTACGTCAACACAATTGTGAGTTCACTTTTAAAGGGGCGATATGTAAGAATTAATCACTTTTTTTGTAACGAAACTTAAAAAACGAGTCTCATAGTTTGTCTCTGAGAGCCCGTCGACTGATTTTTATGTGAGGAAATCGCAGAGAGCCTCTCGTGTTCACGGACACTAATGCTTATACAATGTTCAGGATAAAACTGAAAGAGCCGTTCTGGACTGTAATGTCAATGAGTCGTCAAAGAAAAGAGATTCATTCAAACTACAGTCTCACATAGTCAGATCTATAGAGTCTATAGTCTCAAATATGCTCTATAATCAAACAGTAAGTGCTGCTGCAGTTCACTTTACGGCCACCGGCGTCGCTAACAACAAGAGTTTCTCAATTCTACATGATGATAGCACCAATAAAAGGCATTTCTCAAAGTTAAAAGTATTGTTCTTTTCTACAGTTGAATTCAACGTGTTACTTGGCATTTCTTTACAATTTTCACACACAAAAAAATCTTAAACTTGGTTTAATGAATCCACAATAAGGGCTGATTGTAAATGCATTAACTAACATGAACTAACTATGAGTAATGCATTTAATAATCTTATTTAATATTCATGTCAGTTCACAGTGCATTAACAAATACAACTTGTTTTAAATTTAAAATGAAATAATACTAAAATGAGTAAATATTGTTGGTTCATGCTAACCACTAATGTTCACAAATGACACTATGATAAAGTGTTAGCATAAATGCATCATTTGATTGCTCTATAGTGATCTTAACTCCACGGTGAGCCACTAGAGATGAGTGTACACTACAGTAACTCACGCTCGTGTCTCCGCAGGGCAGGAACGTTTCCTCAGCGGTTTTACAGAGTCTCCTAGAAAGGCGTGTGATGGAGCACATGGAGGATTGTCTTCATAACCCCTGCTTCTCTATGGCCTTTAACACGGACGGATCCCCGAACCTCATGATCAGCTGCAAGGTGTTCATGTCACATGACCAGAGCTCGTTTCTGCATCTCGATCTGTTCTAATCACATGATCTGCTTTTCTTCTCCCCAGGTGTGTGACTATCTGTCCGTCGTGCTGTGAGCCGTTCCTCCACACTGCAGACCGTCTGATGGATGTTTTTAAATGTTATTTATGTGAAATAAAAGATTTTTTTGTAACTTTTATTATTCCCTACCTTTATTTCGAGTCGTAATGCTAATTTAAAGGAGAACTCCGGCGAATAATGAACCTTTGGTCTAATAAAACATCGGTACCTAGTCAATCGTTCTCTGAGTTTTGTTTTCATGATAATCGAATGTAAAGAGTTTTATCTCTAAAAACTGTTTAGCGTATAATGCTAGTAATGGGAGCATTGACTAAGTAAAAAGAAATCGCTAGTTTATACCACTAACAAGGCTCAAAATAGCCCCAGACTAACGCAGTAACATAATGAGGCTCCATACATGCAAAACGAAGCATTGAGAACTTTGTAAGTGTACAGACCGTTCAATAAGAAGATACTTTATGAAGACAGTTCACTTCGCGTATACAGACAGGAGCCATCTTAAAAAAGTCTCGACAAGTCGATCCCCGAACGCGGCTCATACAGTTCAGAAGTTCGCTGAACATCATACAGTTTCAGATCACTCAGCACGGCGTTCGTGGTTTGACTTATCGAGACTATTTTTTAAGATGGCTCCTGTCTGTATACGCGAAGTGAACTGTCTTCATAAAGTATCTTCTTATTAAACGGTCTGTACACTTACAAAGTTCTCAATGCTTCGTTTTGCATGTATGGAGCCTCATTATTTTACTGCGTTAGTGTGGGGCTTTTTTGAGCCTTGTTAGTGGTATAAACTAGCGATTTCTTTTTACTTAGTCAATGGCCCCATTACTAGCATTATACGCTAAACAGTTTTTAAGGATAAAACTCTTTACATTCGATTATCATGAAAACAAATCCCAGAGAACGGTTGACTATGTACCGATGTTTTATTAGACCAAAGGTTCATTGTTCGCCGGAGTTCTCCTTTAAGCTGTCTGTAAACAAACTCAACTTTTTTTTTTGTTTTGTGTTCTATTGAAATCTCCAAAATATGTACATCAACAACTAGTTATACACTGATTTTGAAACACTTAAAGGGTTAGTTCACCCAAAAAATGAAAATGATGTCACTAATGACTCGCCCCAAGCCCGTCAGACCTCAGAACAGTTTAAGATATTTTAGATTTAGTCCGAGAGTTTTCTGTCCCTCCATTGGAAATGTGTGTACGGTATACTGTCCTTGTCCAGAAAGGAAATAAAGACATCATCAAAGTGGTCATGTGATATCAGTGGGTTAGTTACAATGTTTTGAAGCATCGAAAATACTAGGGCCCTATGATTTCCGCGATAACAGAATCACGGACGAAATCGTGCAATACTGTAAACGCAGAATTTCGTGGATTTTTACATATTTGGTTTGAAATTCTGTTTTTGTGTGGGAGAAAAACTTATTTCTGGTGAAAATGCAGACCGGGGGAAGCAAATCTGTTCGACACAAACACCCCAACCCGTCATTTCAGCTCCAATGACGAATTCAAAACAATGAAAGCATCAATAAATGTAAGGTAATTCCTAATTTAGTTGTATTTTTAATACATTTTAATCATTAACTTTAAAAGCACACTCTTTTTACGACTAAAATAACAGTCAATAAAAAATAATAATAATAATAACAGTTAATAAAAAAAAAACGAATTCCCAAAAATTAAAACGGAATTTGGGAAAAATAAATCCGAATTTGGGAAAAAATAAAACGGATTTCATAGGGCCCTAAAATACATATCGGTCCAAAAATAACAAAAACGACGACTTTATTCACCATTGTATTGTCTTCATTTAAATCAAATCAATAAAAAAATGATTTTAAATGCAGAAATGTCACCTCTCTGAAAAGTATAATCTATATATAGTTATATATATATGCTATATAAAAGCATATATATATATATATTCATATATATTTATTAATTATATTAGTTTCACCTTTTAATTTGAATTACTGAAATACTCAAACTGTTTCACGATATTCTAATTTTCGAGTTTCACCTGTATATTACAAACAATTACACTAATGAGAATAAATGTTTTCATCTATATTGAAAGTAAAGCAGGACAAACGTCTCAATATTTCCTCTCAGTTTTATTTCTCACAAATGTTTCGTTCACATTCTGGACCTGTAAAGCCATCTGACATTTGAACCGATGTGCACATAACTTGAAAAATGATATAAAATTAAATACAAAACTGTTCTGCCTTCATCTTCATTCTAGTAGCTCAGATTATTTGCATTTGACGAAAGCGCTGAGATCGTCCAGGAACTTGATGTACTCCTGATGCTCCAGCGCCGTGCTCATCTCCATCAGCTCGTCCGCAAAAGTGTTGTCCACGCCGCGGTCCGCTAGGAAGTCCATCAGATGATCATACAGGGCCTGAGGGGTCAGAGGTCACAGTGCGTTTATTTCTTGGCTTATAACACTTTAACAACACATTTTATTTTACATTTTTTTGTTTGTTTTTTATATTTTTAAATTTTTTTATAGAAAATATTTGACAGAAATTCAATTTTTTTATATATATTTTTAAAATTTTATATTTCGCAATTCTGACTTTTTTCCTCGCAATTCTGATTTTTTTTCCTTGCGATTCTGATTTTTTTTCTCGCAATTCTGAAATTTTTCCTCGCGATTCTGACTTTTACTCGCAATTCTGACTTTTTCCTCGCAATTCTGACTCTCACAATTCTGACTTTTACTCGCGATTCTGATTTTTTTTATCACAATTCTGACTTTTTTCCTCGCAATTCTGACTTTTACTCGCAATTCTGATTTTTTTTCTCGCAATTCTGATTTTTTTTCCTCGCAATTCTGATTTTTTTTTCCTCGCAATTCTGATTTTTTCTTGCAATTCTGACTTTTTTTCTCACAATTCTGACTTTTCCTTGCAATTCTGACTTTTTTCTCGCAATACTCATTTTTTTCTCTCACAATTCTCACTTTTTTCCCCTCACAATTCTGATTTTTCTCACAATTCTGAGTAGTTTGTTTGGTCAATTCTGCCAATAGAAATACATCATGCGCCCTCTAGTGGTGTGAAAGAAAATGACAGAAATCCAAAATTTCATAATTAATGAACTTTTATGAAACTGAATAACTACACTAGAGCTGAGACTGCATTCGTTTCATATCTGAGGAACTTTGCAACACTAACTGTTATTTTCAGATCTGCAGTGGAAGAAGTGGATGAAGACTTGACTAACCCAGTCCAGAGAGTCGGTGTTGAGCGTGTAACTGGTTTCCTTCCAGTCCGTGTCGCCCTCGGGCTGGAAACTGACCTCTCGGATGGAGAAGATGTCGCTCTCCTCCTCGCCCTCACCATGACTGGTCTGTGTAGATGTGAAATCCAGTGAGATGAAGGAGAAAACAGACATCTCTCCACAGTCACACAACAACAAGAGGAATCAGCTCACCTCGTCCTCGGGGAAATGACAGTCGAACACAAGTGAGTTTTTGGCGCCCTGTTTGGTCACCTCAACCACAAAATTAGGCGTCGAGACGATGTCAGGCTAAAACACACAGGACAGACGCGTCAAACACAAGCTAGTCGAGCCACGTCTTTAAAGCAGTGTCTCAAACTCCTAAATAAGACAAAACAAGCATTCAAATCATCTAAAACAACTAAAATCAAGATTTTATTTCTGTAACAACTCTCTTCCAACCAGTAGGCCTGATTTTAAAAGTGTGATTTCTAGAATATGGAAATTAACTCCATACTGAATATGCATTTTTATAGTTACGCCAAGCTGTAAAATATATTTTATCAAGCGAATTGGGAGTAAGACAATTTTTTTGTGACTTTTCCGTCATTTTTTTCCGCAGATGTGAGTTTTGTATTATATTATACATCTCCAAATTTTGTTTCTCACATTCTGCCTTTTTTCTCGTAATTGCAAATTTAAATCTCACAATTCTGACTATTTCTCAAAATTGTACTTTTATTTATTTTAATTTCATTTTTTCTGCAATGGTGACTTTTTTCCTCGCAATGGATGTTTCTAACAATTCTGACTTTCTCAAAATTATCCTTATCTTACAATTTTGACTTTTTACCTTGCAATTCTGATTTTTTTTTATCCTGCAATTCTGAATTTTTATCTGCAATTCTGAATTTTTTATCTTGCAATTCTGAATTTTTTTATCTTGCAATTCTGAATATTTATCTTGCAATTCTGAATTTTTTTATCTTGCAATTCTGAATATTTATCTTGCAATTCTGAATTTTTATCTGCATTTCTGATTTTTATCTGCAATTCTGAATTTTTATCTGCAATTCCTGCAATTCTGAATTTTTATCTGCATTTTTATCTTGCAATTCTGAATTTTCATCTTGCAATTCTGATTTTTTTATCCTGCAATTCTAAATTTTTATCTTGCAATTCTGAATTTTTATCTGCAATTCTGAATTTTTATCTGCATTTTTATCCTGCAATTCTGAATTTTCATCTTGCAATTCTGATTTTTTTATCCTGCAATTCTGAATTTTTATCTTGCAATTCTGAATTTTTATCTTGCAATTCTGATTTTTTTATCCTGCAATTCTGAATTTTTATCTTGCAATTCTGAATTTTTATCTTGCAATTCTGATTTTTTTATCCTGCAATTCTGAATTTTTATCTTGCAATTCTGAATTTTTATCTTGAAAATGTGAATTTTTATCTTGCAAATCTGACTTTTTATCTGCAATTCTGAATTTTTATCTTGCAATTCTGAATTTTTATCTGCAATTCTGAATTTTTTATCTTGCAATTCTGAATTTTTTTATCTTGCAATTCTGAATATTTATCTTGCAATTCTGAATTTTTTTATCTTGCAATTCTGAATATTTATCTTGCAATTCTGAATTTTTATCTGCAATTCTGATTTTTATCTGCAATTCTGAATTTTTATCTGCAATTCCTGCAATTCTGAATTTTTATCTGCATTTTTATCTTGCAATTCTGAATTTTCATCTTGCAATTCTGATTTTTTTATCCTGCAATTCTAAATTTTTATCTTGCAATTCTGAATTTTTATCTGCAATTCTGAATTTTTATCTGCATTTTTATCCTGCAATTCTGAATTTTCATCTTGCAATTCTGATTTTTTTATCCTGCAATTCTGAATTTTTATCTTGCAATTCTGAATTTTTATCTTGCAATTCTGATTTTTTTATCCTGCAATTCTGAATTTTTATCTTGCAATTCTGAATTTTTATCTTGCAATTCTGATTTTTTTATCCTGCAATTCTGAATTTTTATCTTGCAATTCTGAATTTTTATCTTGAAAATGTGAATTTTTATCTTGCAAATCTGACTTTTTATCTGCAATTCTGAATTTTTATCTTGCAATTCTGAATTTTTATCTGCAATTCTGAATTTTTATCTTGCAATTCTGAATTTTTATTTTGCAATTCTAACTTTATATAAAATGTTAAACATGTTATTTTATGTTGTAACCTTTATTTTCTAAAATCTCCACTTCACTACTGTAACATCACTTAAAAATTAAAATGTTAACGACTTGAACAGTTTAGGGAATTTAAGTATCTAGTAATCTCAGTTTCATTGGCTGTTACACAATAACCTGCAGTGCTTCACTGCATTAATATAGGGGCTTTTCCATTACAGATATGCTCAAAAATTAAGTTTTTTTCTAAATATCGATAAAAAACGATTGCGAAATGACGGTGTTTCCATTAACCAATGTCCCGTATACTGTGAGCGGCTCATATGAGGAGTTTCTGCTCATTTCTGCCTCCAGCTCGTGATTGGTTCATTTCTTTGAGGTTTAGAATCCAGTATTGCTGTAATTCTTTTGTGTACGTCAAGCGACAGTAAATGCGCACAAACTGTTTCCATTGCAGTTTTCCAATATATACATTTTTCAAATTGCCTGAAAACCGCCTCATGCGAGCGGAAAAACTTTTTTGCGATAAACGGGAGTTTTTGCGAAATTGACGCGTTTCCATTGTGCGCAATTTGAAGGCTAATGGAAACGCGGCTAGTGACGATACCTCTTCCTCCTGACCCTTCTGCGTTTGCTCGTGCTCTTCCTCCAGCTGTGGCGGGATGCTGTTGTTCACATTGAACGTGACGGTGACTCTGTCAAACACACACAAACATCACACATGACGTAATATTACAGCGGAGGACACGAACGATCATAAAAGCTCTGAAACGCATTCGTACTTTTCTCCGGCCAGCGAGCGGATGAGCTTCGCTTCTGTGCCGTTCAGTTCCAGCTCCCACCCGCCGGACATCTTAGGAAGAGTCGCCTTCTTCTGGATCTTCTTCTCTTCTTTGATTTCATCAGCGAGAAACTCTGCAAACGCTTTATCGCCTGGAGGATAAACACACACATGCAGGATTTACTAACAACACTCGTGATGAATGAGATCTCATTGGTCGGTTAAGGTGACGTGTTGTTCGTCTCCACTTGTTGAGATGCTCTGATGACGCAAATATTGCAGGATATGACATCACCTTTAATATTCTGGAATAATCCAATTTATCTGGTAACATTTTATGAAAAAATTTTAATTAGGCGTTGTTTTCGTTTTAATTTCAGTTAGTAAATTTGTTAGATTGGATTTAAAAATATATATATATATCTCTATAGTGTTTATTATAGAAGCATGTTACCACCACAGAAAAAAATAAATTGCGACTTTATATTCTAACTGAGAGTTTATACTTCGCAATTCTGACTTGTTTCTCACATTTCTGACTTTTTCCACGCAATTCTGATTTTTATCTCGCAATTGTGACATTTTATCCTCCTAATTCTCACTTTTTTCTTTCACAATTCTCACTTTTCCCCTTGCAATTCTGACTTTTTTTCCACAATTCTGACTTTTCTCGCAATTCTGATTTTTCTTCTCACAATTCTGACTTTTTTTCCACGCAATTGCGATTCTGACTAATTTTCTCACAAATGTGAGTTTGTTTCTTAAATCTCACAATTCTGACTTGTGATACAAACTCACAATTTCATTTCATAAAGTCAGAATTGTGAAATATAAACTTTATATAAATTGCGAGTTCTAAAGTCCAATTCTGAGGAGAAAATAACTTTTCACAGAACTGCTGTTTTTATATCTGACTTTATAACAATCAAATTGTGAGTGTGCATTTCGCAATTCAGTGAAAAAAGTTACAATTTTGAGATATAAACTCGAAATTGTGGAAAAAACAGCAAGAATTTCAGGGATAATAAGTAGCAATAACCTTTCCCCCTTCTAATTCAGTGGAGGAAACAAGCGTCCATAGTTTTTAATAATGTTTGTTAAGTATATTTTTATAAATATATATTTTATATTATATATATATATATATAAAATATAAAAATATAATATAAAAAAAATTATCAAATTAAAATAAAAAAAAAGAGAAAAGTACAGAGCCCCTGCCTAAAGGGACCTTTGCAAAAATAAAAATATACAGACGTCATATCCACAATACCGTTTCTCGTGCGAAAGCTATAGTTTCTCGTGAGCCCACAAAAGCCTATAGATTTTTTTTCTCAGAACAGTGAGTTTTCATATCTGACATGCAATTGCGAGTTTATATTATGCAATTCTGTGAGGAAAAAAAGACATAAAGTTGTGAGATATAAACTCCAAATACTAGCTGAAATATTATTTTTATATTTTATTTCAATTGACATATTTGTTTAGTTAACTAAAAAAACACTGATACTATATTATTCTACTTTCTCCTCTCTGACCATTTAGTACCTAAATTAAGTTTACTCATCTACCATAGACGTATATCTCATCTTATACATCTACGCTTAAATCTCTTCCAATTCTAAATTTATCTCAAAATTCTATTTCTCAAAATGTTGTGTATATCCCACATTCTGACTTAGAATTGCAATACAAACACACAATTGCATTCTATAAGTGACATAAACTTCTAAACTCCAATTCTGAAGGAAATAACTTTTTTTTCTCAGATCTGTGAGTTTTCATATCTGATTTTATAACAGTTTATATTATGCAATTCTGTAAAAATAAAAATAAATTTTAAAAAGTTGTGAGATTTTAACTCCAAATACTAACTTAGCTGAAATATGTTTTTTATATTTTATTTCAATTGACATATTTGTTTAGTTAACTAAAAAAACACTGATACTATATTATTCTAGTTTCTCCTCTCTGACCATTTAGTACCTAAATTAAGTTTACTCATCTACCATAGACGTATATCTCATCTTATACATCTAACGTTACGCTTAAATCTCTTCCAATTCTAAATTCATCTCAAAATTCTATTTCTCAAAATGTTGTGTATATCTCACATTCTGACTTAGAATTGCAATACAAACACACAATTGCATTCTATAAGTGACATAAACTTCTAAACTCCAATTCTGAAGGGAAAAACTTTTTTTTTCAGATCTGTGAGTTTTCATATCTGATTTTATAACAGTTTATATTATGCAATTCTGTAAAAATAAAAATAAATTTTAAAAAGTTGTGAGATTTTAACTCCAAATACTAACTTAGCTGAAATATGTTTTTAATATTTTATTTCAATTGACGAAATTGTTTTGTGGTTTAGTTAAATAAAATAACCCTGGTAGTAACTTACTAACGTTATATTGGTTTCTCCTCTCTGACCAGCTATTAAAAGTTAGCCTCTCTACACAGCCACCATAGAAACGACATAACACTTTACCTAACACTTTTAGTAGTGTGTGTGTGTGTGTGTGTGTGTGTGTGTGTGTGTGTGTGTGTGTGTGTGTGTGTGTGTGTGTGTGTGTGTGTGTGTGGAGGAGCGCTTACCCTCGGTGTGCAGACTCCCGCAGCCGCAGGACAGTGTGGGCAGCGCCCGCGTCGCAGTGAGGAGCCTCGGCCTGGACCCCGACGACGCGCCGCTGCTGCCGCTCAGGCTCCAGATGGACCGGCTGAAGGTTCTGCTGAGACGCGGCGCGGCGCTAATCGCGCTCGTGGATGCGGAGCTCCTGCTGGACAGACGCGCCGCGAGCTGGACCGCGCGACTCACAGACTTCAACATGACTTCGGTTCTTCTGAGAGGTGCTGACCGCTGATCACACTGACAGTCTCACACACACACGTGGGGAAGGACACCGTGACCTCAGCACTCTACACCGGAAGTGTTCCCTACAGGAAATGAGTTAAAAGTCCCACACGCTGTCAACAACACAAACACGTGCTTCCAGTAACTACAGGCTACATAACGTCATCTACGTTGTTTTATTTTTTATTTAACGTTAATAGTTCGATTTTCTAAAGTAGTCATGCAGTTGTGTGGAGTTTGCAGCGAACATGTTCCTAAATACAGATGTCCGGCCTGCAGAATCAGATAGTAAGTATTCATGTTCGATTGTTTATATCTATATCTTTTGCTTTTTAGATGTTACAATTATTGTTAATTAAATAACACATTTCTTTTTCTTCTAGTTGTTCAGTGAGTTGCTTTAAAAGACACAAGGATGATGGTACGTACTATATTCTATTTATAAATATTCACATTTATGATTTGGCAGATGCTTTTATCTAAAAGACTTGCAGTTCCCTGGGATTCGAACCCATGACCTTGGCGTTGCAAGCGCTATGCTTTACTGATTTATTATTAATTTAATCAAATAATAATGCATTATTATTAGTATTATCATTATAATACTACTGCTACTACAAATGCAATTGTTGTTAAAAGTTATTGGCTAGATAAAGCCGACATTCTGATCTACTCTTTATTTCTTCTTCTTCTGAGACTTTAAAGATTTTAAACAGTTTTTCCTCCTAGAGCTTTAAACCCGGTTCAGATCTTCAGACTGTTCTGACTCGGTTTGCTGGATCTTTTCTATCTGATCCGACTTACGATTTTCGCTAAGCTAGCACTAGCTTGACACTATCCTATAATACTATAAAACATGATAGCAATGTGTTTAAGTCCCCTTGTGGTGAAAAGCTTTAATATTGCTTATGTGTCTATGTGGTGTTTTTAATACGCTTTAAGACAAATCATGTGTAAATTCATAAGCATTGCTGAGCATTTTCTCCTTAAAAATGCAGTGAACCAAAAACACTGTTTGGATTCGCTGTTTCTGACGTCACAAACGATCTTGTAAGTCAACCAGTGGATCTCTGAGTGAGTGAGTGAGTGGAGGCGGGGCTCATTTGCATATTTATAGAACTGCGTATAGTAACCCAGATAGCAAACTGACATTGAATCAACGTGGAAATATGACATCGAAACAACGTTGATCTGACATTGTTTTGCTCATCGAATTAACGTTGAACCAACGTCAGACGCGTCATTCTTTCAAAACTAACGGAAAATCAACTTGAAATCAACGCGTTGTTTCAATGTTATGAAAGCAAACCAATTTTCGATTTTCATTTAGCTTTGAAGAATGCCGCGTCTGACGTTGGTTCAACGTTAATTCGATGAGCAAAATCAACGTTGTTTCAATGTCATGAGAGACGTCGTTTCCACGTTGATTTAATGTCAGTTTGCTGTCTGGGAAATCATATAGTAAATAGTCAATATGCAATTTTGGTGATTAAAGATGAGTTTTTTTAAGTGATAAAATTACCAACTACAGGGACTTTAAAGGACAACTCCGGCGCAAAATGAACCTTTGGTCTAATTACACATTGTTACCTAGTCAACCGTTATCTGAGATTTTTTTTCATGATTGCCGAATGTAAGTAGTTTTATCTCTAAAAACAGCTAACTCATGTTAGCAACATGCCATCAACGTCTTAATTCTAGCATGAGCCAAAACATGCTAACAATGAATGTGCCAATTCAAGCAACATGTTAAATCATATTAGCAACATTGTTAAATAATGCTAACATGCCAGCTATTTTTTGCATCATGCTAATCATGCTAACAACATAATAATCATGATATCAACATGTTACCAATGTGTTAAATCATGTAACCAACATATTAGCAACATGAAAATGTTAGCAACATCTTACTTATTCCAGCAAACATGCTAACAGTGTGTTAAATCATGTTGTTAACATTAACATGTTGTTAAATATGTTAGCAGCACCACGTTAGCAGTCCGTTGAATAATGCTAGCAATGTGTTAAAACATGCTAACAATATCCTAATTATGCTAGGAACATTTTAAAACATGCCAGTAACATTTTTTGTATTTCTTTCTCTGTGTAAAACACATTTTAACTTTTAATATTTTTGAAGTTTTTTTTTGAAACTTTCATACCTGGCTAGTTAGTTATGTTCTGTCTTATATATAAAAAAACAAGACAATGTAAGCTTTTATTTCATTTTGCTCCGATAGATTCATGTCACCCAATTAAAGAGCCCGATCCAGCCTCCAGCACCCCGACCCCAGTGCGTAGCGGTGAGTGAATCACACACACACACACGTTATAGATGCCAAAATCAACAGCCATATTGCATTACATCAAGATGTAAATGTGTTTGATTTCAGCTGAACAGCCGTGGGTTGTTGAGGATCTCCTTGATGAAGACAGTCAGACTGACAAAGTGCCGTTACAGAAACTTCAGCAGCTCGGTATGTCAGGGATGATGAGTAAATATTGATCTGAGTTTAAATATCGTAATTAGGTCTTTAAACGCAAAGCTAGCATTACAAGTTCAAACTACACGGACATTTAAGAGATACGGTATACACTAATACCACTTATTACACAGACTTTCACAACATAAACAATTATGGCGATAAGAGAGATTGATTTTGGATTAAACTGTTGGATTATGAGATACAAACAGGTATGATTTTAAAACGGTTTACAAAATAAGAGTCACAAAATGGCCGCCGCTGCGTTTGTACAAAACGAGAGTGCGAGTTCACGATACTGGATGGCATAATTAAAGGGATAGTTCACCCAAAAATGAAAATTCTATCAGTTTACTCACCCTCAAGTTGTTCCAAACCTCTGTTTATTTGTTCTGCTGTACACAAATGAAGATATTTGTAAGAATGTTTTAATTAAACAGATCTCAATCCCCATTGACTTCCATAGTATGTATTTTTTCCTACTATGGAAGTCAATGGGAATTGAGATCTGTTTAATTGAGATCTGTTTGTGTTTCCTTCACACAGGAGATTCAGAGGCGCTGAAGGATCTGTTGAGGAATCCTCATCTCCGACAGCTGATGATGGCAGTGGACTCGGCCGGAGATAAAGCCAAAGCCATGAAAGACGCCATGCAGGAGCCGCTGTTCGTGGAGTTTGCGGATCAGTGCTTAAAAATTATTGAACCTACGCAAATAGACAGTGTCGATGACGGATACTGATTTCATTGAACTCTTAATGAGTAACACACATCATGACAGTCCATTGGGTTTTGTTTGAAACAATCGGAGGCATCTACACTTGTGTCTGATAAACATACTCAAATGGCTCAAAATATTTGCTACATATGCATGTTTTCTCAACATATTACTGAGCCTTTGTGTTGTCACACATGCACTATTGCATCCAGTCGTTTATAACACGTCATGCATTTTATAATAAATGTAAAAAGACACCAAAAACAGAACATCTGTAATGATTTTTATTTGAATTATCAAAGTTTGACCAAGTGTTTGTTAAAGCAGTACCTGAGCACAAACAATAAACATGTTTTGTTGATTAATGCCCTGAGATTAGAAATATTGATTATTTTTGGTAATCATTGCACATAGTTCCTAATCAAAAACACCTATGGAATGTTGTGTAGTCTGTGTGCTAAATAATCTGAACTATACATACATATGCAAATAGTACATTAATTCAATGTGCTTTGGTAAGAGCATTAACAGCAATGCCGAAACTACAGCTTTTCCCAGTATTTTATGAATAAAGAATAAATATATCATGCAAAGTGTACAAAACTTGTCTTTATCAATACTATGTTCTCCATCATCTCAGTAATTCTAAATATCATTATTGTACCATGTTTTAAGGTGCTCTATGTAGAATTAAAAAAACTCTTGTTTGTAGCGACACCGGTGGCCGTTAAGTGAACTGCAGCAGCAGCGATGATCACATAACGCACAAGAGACTGAACCGTAATTCAAAACCCAGATAAACTCGTTCTCCACTTAGAAGTAAAAAGAAGTCGGAAATAGCTTTGCAGTGATTTACTGTTAACGAATATCCCGCCGCCGTCCACTGCTGAGAGCCACGTTTAGATGATTATGTGAGTATGTGCTGCTCTTTCCTCTCAATAACACAATAAACACACACAGAAATGAGAAAGCATCTGATCATAGAGATGTGGAGATCAGCGACAAATCACACAGTTTTGATAGTTTGATTATAGAGTATATTTGACTCTATAGATTGACTATATGAGACTATACTTTTCTTTGACGACACATTGACATTACAGTCCAGAACGGCTCTTTCAGTATTATCCTGAACATTGTATAAGCATTAGTGTCAGTGAACAGAAGAGAGGCTCTCGGGAGTGTGTATAAAACACGCATCTGCGATTTTCCCGCCAAAAACGTCCCGAGTCCTAAACATAAAAATGAACTAGGAAAGTCAAGTTTCGCTACAAGCTGTTCATACATTGGCAAAAAATGATCATACATGAATATACTTACATATAGCCGTTTTAAAACATTATTTTGATCAGTTTGTACACTGATATTAAAGACCCCCAGCGGATCAGGGTAATCCGAGCTAGTGTGAGCGAGAGGAGGCGGGGCTAATTAGCATATTCATTAATCCGTATAAGGGTGTCGAGTTACATTCTAGCTATTTTAAGGCATTAGGAATGTATTTTAAATATGTAATTTCGGTGATCAGAGAAGAGTTTTAACGCATCAAATTATTGATGACGGGGGACTTTTATACAAATCAAATTAAACACCAGAGTTTGGGATACATCAGCAGCACATTATATATAAAATATATTCACGATATAAAGCTGTGCAAGAAACATTATTCAAATCATAACAGAAAATGCTAGTATAAAATAAAGTCATAGTTATAAAACGCTCTACAGGACTGAAGAATTAAAAGGCACTTGTGCTTCATGCTGAGAGAGCGTAGATGCAACTAAACGCTGAATTGCACTAACGATAAGGCAGCTAAATGTTTAATATCACTCGATGTAGTGTGTTTCAAAGGTGCACTGATTGCATGAGAGCTTTTAGCAGCATGATGAGAAGAGGAGAAGTGCGGTCAGGTTTTCTCCAGCAAGATCTGGTTGAACCCGGTCACCACGTCGGCCTTGTGCACCGGGTGCCTGTCGGCGTACAGAAGGGGAGATCTCTGCAGATGCATCTTAATGGACCCCTGTCAAAACAAGCAGCCAAAGCAATTAAAACAGGACTTTTATTTTGTCTTCACAAGGATTTCCTTTGTGTAGTCAATGTCCACACAATCCATCCTAAACAGTGTGTGAGATTAGAAGAAGTGTGTCACAAAGCATAGTACGTTATCTATTATTTCCGGTGGATTTTCGAAAAGCGTGGATCCGTGCTCACTATAACGGCTAATATTACCCACAATCCATTGCACATCGGAGGAGGAACAACAAACGACACGAGTAAAACGTTAAAAAACTACAAAATACTATAATACTATTCGAATTCCATTCCTTATTTTATTTAACATTCAAATATTAAATGCTCAAATTCATCCTATTATTAATATTTACGACATTACTCAGGCTTCTGGATCGCCGATGCCACTATAGCATGTGGTTGCTTTAAGACACACCATGTGTAAGTTCATAAGTCGCTAAGTATTTTATAGAGCCCGACCGATAAAGGATTTTGAAGTCCGATACCGATACAAATATTTGTTGGTTTTAAAATCCGATATATCGGCCGATATTATTTTTATTTTTTTATTTCAGAAACGCGCATCAAAATATTAACAGATTTCCCTAACATTAGTTATTTGTAGTTATTTATGAGTTAACTAAAATAATATGATAATGCATTTTAAAAAGAAACTTGTTTCTATCGTCAGAACAGAACAGAGGAACATCAAAATATATTAAAGTTCTGATAAACAAAATTAGTCCCTACGTTGCTTTATAAGCTACCTTATAATTACAATGTCACCTTTGCCTGCACTTTTTAAAATTTTTTCCATCAAGCTACATTGAACCATTTTCAATCATCAGTTGGTAGTCAGTCAAGTCAAGTGTAGAGCACCCTCTGGTGGACAAACTATACAACTCCAACACTCATGACATGGTTAAAGCGTTTCGTCCGTTTTTATTTTATTTTCGAAATATTCATTTATCGGCCATTATAACTGCCGATACCGATATTTTAGAAAATGCCTAATATCGGCCGATAATATCGGCCTGCCGATATATCGGCCTGGCTCTAGTATTTTACAGTATTGAACCAAACACAGTCTCAAAAACATAGTGTGAAAATCGCTAGTGTTTCTGACGTCACAAACGACCTTGTAACCAATCAGATCACGTCTGATCGTCAACCAGTGGATCTCTGAGCTGAGTAGGTGAGTGGAGGCGGGGCTCATGTTGCATATTCATAGAACCGCGCATACTAAATGAGGCGAGGGTGTCGAATTACATTCAAGCTATTTTAAGGCATGAAGGAAAAAACTTTTAAATATGTAATTTTGGTGATCAAAGATAATTATTCGTAATTATTTTCAGCAGAAAATACTCAGCAATGCTGTCGACTTATGAACTTACACATGGTTTGTCTTAAAGCGTATTAAAAACACCATTAAACGCTTGATTTTCACCACAGGAGGAATAATTTGTGGCCACTCAAAGCTTCTAACAGTCTATTGGAAAAGTCTCTTACCCGTGGCTGAGCTCTGATAGACGCCACACCCTGTTCAAACTGGTTGGTCTCTACTTTGTATTCATCGTGTCTGAATGGGATCTTCAGACAGGCCATCATGGTCATGATCCGCTGGAAACCAGTGGCCGTCAGAGACACAGTGATGGTGGGAGCAGAAGCGATGGCCAGCCCGATCGGCCAGCTTCGGACCATGACGGGCTCCTGGATGCTGTCGAGTTGTACTGACCCTCTTTCCCTCAGCAGAGGATCCATCTTCGGCAACACACATGACTCTTCCTCCATGAAATCCTCAGCATCATCCAGCTCGGCCTCAGCTAACGCATCCATCCACGCCTATCGAGAAGGAACGCACACATTTATTTCCCAAAAATTAAAAATTAAATGTAATATTTTCCTTCTGAAATGATTAATCGCGATTAATCACATCCAATATAAATGTGTGTACTGTGTATAATCATTTTGTTATACAAACACACATGCATGTATATATTTACAAAATCTTTGCATGTATATACTATATAAATATTTTATATACAAATAACATTTTTGGAAAAGACATACATTCAATTCCCAATGGATAAAATCAAGTCCTGCCAAACACTTAAAAACCAGCACAATGCTTACTCTCCAGCGCCTCCATTTGGTTTGGATGACCGTTGCAGCTTTGTGCCATTTCTTGATTTCACTTCTGACCCGCCAGGATCTCAAACCTATGATAGAGACACATACAGTTGAGTTAAAAACACTGTATAAGACTATACGAATACTGGATGGAGCCATTTGTCATAGGGGTTGAACAACTGCAGATTTTATTAAGTCGACATTTATTTGATCAAAGTCGAGTCGACTAGTTGCTGATGGCGTCATTAAAGGGAATGTTGATTATGATTTCACTTTCTTAACTTTAGTTAGTGTGTAATATTGCTGTTTGAGCTTAAACAACATCTGCAAAGTCACAACGCTCAAAGTTCAAAGCAAAAGGAGATATTTTCTTTTAAAGAAATTGCCTTTTATGGAATTTACACAAGATTCATCCCGGGTTAGTGACATCACAACTCTAAAATCTACATAAACCCCGCCCCCGGGAATGTAATTTATAGATTATCATGACAGAATATGCTAATCAAGGACTAGAACTATTCATCAACTAACCATTCAGAAATATCTGTCTGACATATTACGGTTTTCAGGACACAAGCTCTTGAAGCTCCGCCCCCTGCGCCGGGAGCTAGCAGCTCGTTTGCATTTAAAGGGACAGACACAAAACGGTGCGTTTTAACATGCTATATAAAAATATCTGTGGGGTATTTTGAGCTAAAATTTTAAATACACACTCCAGGGACATCAGAGACTTATTTTACATCTGGTGAAAAGGTCATTATACCACCCTTTTAATGAACAAAGAAGCTCGAACCTCAAGCTATTTTAAGTTAAATTTTATTTTCAAGGAAGCACCATGTCTATTGATGGGTAAAGCGATAGCTAGTCCACTTGAGATCCTTTCAATTTAAACCGAATACAACCAAAACAATATTATTCTGCAAAATGTAAATTCCAGTAAATGCTAGAGGGTCAAAAGTTATATAGTGTACCTTTTAAAGTTTCATTACATTAGTAATAAATCATAAAACATGGAATCCAGACGAATTAATTATTTTTTTTTTTTTTATCTTTTTGTTGTTTTTGAAACATTTTTAAATTGTTAAAAGGTATGGTCTGATTATGGGACAGGGATTATACTGTGACTCGGTCATCTTCTGGCTTTCCTGATCTCAGTGAAGCAGGTGTTTGGCTCAGGTGAGCTGAATCTGTTCTGGGTTTAAGGGATAATGTGTCAGTGTCTAGACACACAGCAGATGTCTACTTCTAGCCTTCTTTACACCTACACACAAACACACTCACCTATATACTGTATACACACAAGGTAAAAAAATTAAACTCCATTTAGGGCTGAATTGAGAGAAATACAGGTCAATAATAGGCTGTTATTTAGACTGAAGGGGTGCCCGATACTAAGGAATTGTTTTTTTTTTTGATCCTCTTAACAAGCACCTGATCTTTTCAAGGCAAAGATATCTCTGATCCACGGATGTGAGTGGGAGAAGAAGCCTCCGTCAACTTTAGTAGCATTGCTCTGTGTGCTAACAAGAAAATATTTATTTTTTTAACTATGCACCCCTCAAATAAGAACGGAAAACCTGGATTTTTTTTCATTTCTAAATCACATTTGCAATTTTTGTTCGAAAAATAGCAATTAAAGTTGTCCTCCCAAATAATGGAGCCCTATCTGGGAAAAAAAAGCGGTTCCTATATGAATCTACCGATTTGCATCAATTCACAAATATCAAAAAAGTATGCCACGCGATCTCGAATTCAGTTGTGGACTTTTAAGTATTCAATGTAAACAGAATCGATTATGTCCAACACGAACGAAAACAAATGTGAGAAAATCGGATGTGTAACTATATCCACGCATTCACTCTTAAAGGGCCATCCGTTTCATTAATGTTAAAAAATATATTTTAAAAAAACACTCGCTGCTTTTGAATGAATCTCTTTTTTTATCTTTATTATATTTAAATCACACAGTGTTTTATTTTTTACATTTGATTATTCAATTTCGGTAGTATTTCTTACTACATAAATAAACCTATTAGGGATGGGCAACGATTAATCGCGATTAATCGCATCCAAAATAAAAGTTTGTGTTTACGTAATATATGTGTGTATAATTATTTTGTATATATAAATACACACACATGCATGTATATATGTAAGAAATATTTGCATGTATATACTTTATATATATACATAATTAATATTATGTATAAATATTTGATATATTAAGAACACATTTTTCTTAAATATATACATGCATGTGTGTGTATTTATATATACAAAATAATTATACACACACCACACGCACATATATCATGTAAACATAAACTTTTATTTTGGATGCGATTAATCCCGATTAATCGTTGCCCATCCCTAAAACCTATACAACTGTCCCTGAAAAACTTAATGTTTTTTTAATCTGTATATTTTTTTTCAATTGTATTTGTCCTATTGTTTGTAATTTGCTTCTTTGTTCCTATTTTTAATATAAAAATAAAATAAAATAAAATTGCATGTCTTGCTTTTTTATAGAAGACTGTAATGATTGTGGTTAAGCTCAATTGTTTTATAATATTGGTTTGACTAAAATGGGAAGAAAAACAAGGTTCACATTTAAATTTAGTATGATTTTTTCTTCTTTTAGACTTATTAAAACGTCTACCGCAGTCAAATAAGAAAAGTAACAAAATATATATATATATATATATACGTACAAGTATTCATTACCTCCATGAGCTCATTGTTACTGCCTTTAATTATTACATTGTTTAATTTAATAAATTTCTAGCTAACAGTGATTTGTATATGTATATAATTATAATATATAGTTACCTCTGATCACAGATCACTCTAAATTGCATTTTCTGTAAAGCCGCTTTGAAACGATGTGTACTGTGAAAAGCACTATCCAAATAAATGTGAAATTTGATATTTAACCCTTGTGCTGCATTAGATTTTTAACACCGTTGAGTTCATTAAGGACCAAAAATGGCCACATATTAAACATTGCCTAAAATATTATATATTATTATTATTTTCCACTTTTACCAAGTTATATCTTTTAACCAGCATCAGTCCTCATCATAACTACCAAAAATGTATTCAATTTCAGGATTTTAACCCTTTAATTACCAGTTTTGTTTGCGAAACCATCGATTTGTATAAGAGGAAAAAACACAAAAATTCAATTATTTTCAATAAACTAAATGCAAAGAGAAAACTTTAGATTTGGATTATCACAGTCCCACTTTGCAAAAAATCCCACTTAGCGCATTAGAGACCAAAAATGGCCACCTATTAAACATTGCCTATTGCCTAAAATAAGGTGCATTTCCACCCATAGGGAATAAATATGTAGTGACGTCATCTGGTGGAATACACTATATAATGCAAATATAATGCTTTTGCTTCAAAATGAAAGGATGTTTGTGCAAAAATCATGTTTCATGTATTATTGACAGCCTCAGATTTAAACAACGTTTTAATGGGTTTCAATGGGCCATTTCTGGTCTTTATGGTGCTGAGTGTTACTATTTGATCTACACAGTGTGTGTTATACATATTTTGCAAAATGGGATCACATTTTTTACATGTATCCAAAAAGTCACAATTTTGCCAAATTTCATACCATTTGCATTAAAACAGCCAAAATGGTCAAAGAAATTAAACTGCAAAAGACCAAAAATGTCCCTAATGCAGCATAAGGGTTAATCAAATCGTGAGCTACCAAAAGATTCAAACCCATCTGTTATACAACAATTAAACCTGTAATCACAAAAAAAGGTGTTAAATGCTAACCTGCTTGTATGCGGGTGGCAGCGCGTGTCCTGAGGCTGCGCTGATGCTGCTGGTACCTGCGCCAGCAACACTGGATACAGAACGCTTTCTGCGAGCGCACGCGGTTCCTGCGATCCTCCAGCATCTCCAACTGCACAACACATGATGAATTAACTGCTGACATCAAAATAAAACGTTTTCAACTTCCTACACCTCGGTTAACTTCAAAGTCAAGGACCTTTCCAGGTCCAATACCATCAAATTTACCGTGTAAGATACACTGTTAGATATTTTTCTGGAAGGGACTAAAGAACAAAGAATTTTTATCAGCTGAAAGGCAAAATGCAAATGTTTTTATATAGTTAGATAGACATTATTTAACAGTTTCAGGCTTTGTTTTAGTGGTGGTAACATGTCCCACATATTTGGTTTGTTTGATGGTGGTCACCCTAGCCAGGACAGAGTCAAAGAGTTCAGTGAACATTCAATATTATGCAAATCATGTTACAATCAGAAGTCATCAGAGTGCATGCTTTACCAGGGACTGCGTAAGAAAGACTTTGGTCCTCCCACAATGCACCATGTCGTTGTTGTCATCAGGGCTGAGGGTGGAGTTTGGGACGAGTCTCTCGAGGACCACATTGACCACATCTTTTACAGCAGGTCCCAGAACAGCCTGATCGTTTATCTCAGGGCCTGTGGGCGAGATGTGCTTTAGAAATACAGTGTTCCCCTATAGTCAAAATTACATATTTGAATGCTTTTTTCCCAGAGAAAATAATTTATTCATGCCTTAAAATAGCTTGAATGCATGAACGTAAATTAATCCGACTGATGGATTTGCACATAGTATATCTTGACGCATATTAACGACATATATAAACAACATTAAATACACTTTTTTTCACATTTTGGCCTATTTTACTTCCATAACATGTCGTCTTTCAGACTAGAGGAAAGAAAACATTGATGTAAATGTTTTATTACACTTTCTCTATGTTTATAAGTAGATTTCAATTACAATACATCTCTTTAAAGGCCATTTTCTCAAAACATGTTTTTTGTTTGTTTTTGTTTTTCAGAAAACTCCAATTCTGCCTCACTAACATACAAAAACTTTAAAATTGTAATTGAATTCACTAAAATTGTATTGAATTCACCTGATTTATACAACACGTTACTTCCTAAAACATTGTATAAAAAATAATAAATCTGATTAATGGGGTGATAAAAAGAGAGATAAAATTCCCTCTGTTAACCCTCTGGGGTTCTTCGGGTCAATAATGACCCAAAGCGTTTAAATAAAAAAAAATGTGTAAAAAAATCGTAGCTTCATCGGAATGGTCCGAAACTTGGTGACTTTAATGGTACTTGGTATATGAACACCCAAACAAATTGGGGACAGGATTTGAAAAGTCTAAGTGGTCGTAAAAAAAATAGTCACACTCAGGACCTTCGGGTCAAAACCCGCATAGGAAATGAATGGGAAATTGGCAAAAATGTGAGTTTTTTTGTGTGTACAATCTACAAATCAGCAATGATCTTGAAAAAAAGCACACAACAGTGAAGGGGTGAATCCATAAAACATCAAGAGTGCAAAACAGACACATCCACACACACACCAAAAAATTCATGTGTTTTGCATTTTTAAAAAGCTCAGTTTGTCCACGAAATGGCATCCATCTAATTTCAAAAATTGCTTTCATGAGGCCAAGGCAATAAATATTTAAATATTTTTTTCTATTACGTTTAATGGGGGAACATTTGGTCATAATTATTGCATTAACACTAATTATAAAAAAAAAATATATTTTTGAATTTTTCTCAAAACACCAAAAAAGAAAAGAAAAAAAATATATAAAAAAAACAAGTAAAAAAAAAAAATTAGGATTTTCTTTTTTAAATATGAATCCCGCCCTTCGGGTCAATTTTGACCCGAAGGCCCCGAGTGTGACAGTTAAACGAAGAACCCCAGAGGGTTAAACTGTAATAATGTCAACAAAATTAAATAAACTGGGGAAGTACAGTGATTTCTAATCATTTCTATCCTATTCACCTTGTCTTGCTTTCACGCAACTACATTCAAGCTCTTTAGTGTCACCATATTGATTCATCATGATTAGCTAAAAGCTTGTTTTGACTCTTTATTAGAGCAAACGTTCAGTCTCGTCCCATAAACCCCCCTTCCTGCAGACTTCACTTCTAATCCGGCTCTAACACACCTGTCATTTTCAAAACACCTTGCTTAATTGGTTTAGCTCTGTTTAGCTCAGGAGCACTTGATTTATCTGAGATTTTGTACCAACTAATGTGCTAATTCATGCAGGATGAGTTGGAACAAGTGTGTACCACATCCCACAAGCAGTGATATGAAACCACATCATTTCTATACAAGATATTACACCAAGATTTTAACTCGACATACAGAAGAGGGAGATAGAAAAGGCAAGCAAGTGCAAAACTGCATGCAAAACACCCTCTAGATAAGCATGCAGTAATTCACCTGAATCATTATTTTAAGCACTGCGTTCATAGAACAAGACAGGAAGACATAAGAGGAGGATACTGAAAGAAAAAAGACAAGGATCAGGAATTAACGAAGAGAACAAGAAAGCAGACGGCTCTGTGTGTCCACTTGGGGTTGCACGTACTGTTCTCTCGATTCATCTGCGCTGCTAGTCTGTAGTTTGTGATCAGCCCGTATCTCTGGAGGAAACTGCAATACGGGATCCTGGCGGACAATACAAAAGACAAGTGATCATTCTGAGGGGAATTCTCTAAACTCGAGCTGATGTGAGATACACTCATTCTTCCCTTTTAACCCTGGTGTGACCTTATGGACATTTTTGTGCATAAGACTAACATGACTCCTTTATAATCATGACAGGACACGTCATGAATATGAAGGAGGGTTTATGCATGCTAATGACAACTAACATTAAGTGCCATTCGCTAAATTATGACGTTTTTAATGCAAATATATGACATTTTTTGAGATGTCATGTGGTTGGTTTTGACATTGGCTGTCATGAGGCCATTATAACATTTTAATGAGAAATTTAATTTATACCACTGTAGTTGAGGACACGAAAAATATTCATGACGCAGTTATAATGCCTCATGACAGCTAATGTCAAAGCCAACCACATGACAGATTAATGTAATGTTAACCCATAAAGCTAAGTGCTTTCTTCAGTTTGAAAATTAATATGCTATGTCATGTTTATGACATTTTTGACAGTGTCATGCAAGTCTTATGCACACCTCTTCAAGTAAGGTATTACCACTTTTTGTCTTTGTCAGTTTTGTTTTTTAAATAATTTTTCCAGTGTTAATGCCAAATGCATATATTTTGACACAGTTGTGTATTTTTATTGAAATTTTACTATTTCACCCCCATTCCCTTTAATACATGTATTTTACACTAGTTCCACTCAGGACCTTAAGAACAAAAATGTCCCCATTGAAACTCATTAAAGTCATTTTTAATCCCAGGATCATTTAACTATAAAATTATAAAAACTTTGTTAAGAGGCCTTCATTCTGACTATTTTTTATCAGATTCTCAGGTTTGGCCTATAAAACAAATGTTCACATGTTTCTGCTTCTGCACATTATAAAGCCAATTGGATAAATTATGCAGCTATGATTGTGTGGGTGTGTTGGTATGGATGTATGTGTGCACTAAAATAGTGTGTGTGTAAAATATTTATAACGCAAATCACAAATCCAACCAGTGTACCAATGGAGTTTTGCTGGATCTAATGGGGGAAATTACACTGAAAGCTCATTTTTTGAGATATCAAATTCACCAAACCAGTTTAGATTTAAGGAATTTGAAGGCATTGGTTTTGTAAAATATATATTTTATATAAAAAATGTTCATAAATAATTTTTATAACTTAAAACCTCTATAACTAATACTTTTTTACTTATACAATAATCTGCCAAAGGGTCCACCTCAAAATTAGACAGAACTTAAGTTCCCAAGCTGACAGTATTTTGACACAGAAATTGTTTTCCTCTATGAACCAATGTGTAACTTCTTTTTTTTAAGGGTTAAACACTTGTATGATGTGGAGATTATATTATAAGAGATGTGTGGATTATGTAGCTTTACCTGATGGGAAATCCTGCTGCACTGATGTTTATGGTCTCCACTATCCCACAGGCCTCAAGCTGAGCGATGACCTGAACACACACCAAACCAAGACTCACTAAATCAATCCATGACCTATGAACTTGTTTAACCTGAAAGTCAGGGGAGTACACAGAAGTGCGTGTTTTCCGCACCTCTTCCCTTTTGAAGGTGAGCGGTCTGCAGTCCGGGTTGGGTTTGATGCAGCGTGTGTAGTGCGGGGTGGTGCTGTGCAAAATCTTCATAAGGCTTTCAAGGGAGTTCTGCATATTCACAGAAAGACAAACAAATTAAGAGAGTTAGTTCACACAAAAATTAAAACTCATTTTCAGACAAATAAATAATCTGAAATCATCCAATAGTGTCAATGTAAAACTTAAATGATTAAGGGCCAAAACACAATAATTTACAACAAAAGTCATTTGTAAAAATGAAATCTTCCTATGAACAAATCATAAGCTTAATTATTACTTCTTTAAAACCTGTACCTTAAATTTGGAGACGACAGTGATGACTTTACTGTGTCCTCTAGAGCCCTCGCTCTCAAGGTCACCGTCAGCGAAGAGGCTGTGCAGCAATGAATCCTGGGATTTCTGCAGGAGACAGGTGAGCTCAGGAGGAACCGGGTCCTGCAGAACACATGGACACATACGTGAAAAAGAGACAAAAACACAAATGAGTGCTTCCCATACGTTTTATTCATATTTATGTTTATAACCATTTATATCAAAGGTTTTGGACTGGTACGATTTTTAATGTTTTTAGAGTCTCTTCTGCTCCCCAAGGCTGCATTTATTTGATTTTTATTTATTTTATTAAGTAAAATTGGGAAATGTTATTCTAATTTAAAACAGCGGTTTTCTATGTGAATATATAGTAAAGTGTAATTTATTCCTGTGATCAAAGCTGAATTTATCATCATTACTCCAGTCTTCAGGGTCACATGATCCTTTTAGAAATCACTTGAATATTAATAGACATTTATAATTATTATGAGTGTTGAAAACAGTTATTTACATTTTTATTTCAGTATTCTTTGATGAATAGAAAGTTGAAAAGAACAGCATTTATTTGAAATAGAAAACTTTTGTAACATTAAACACTTTTATTTTCAAAAATATAATTTACTTTTATTAAACTTATAATTTATACTTACTTTTATTAAAATTATAATTTATAATTTATTATAAATATAATTTATAATTTCTAAAATATAATTTAAAACACTATATATGTATATAGACCATTTTGCAAGATGTAAACAACACTGGTCCAGAAACACTTCCTGTTTCAGTTTGTAACTGTTTTCTTTATTTCACATGTAAAGAAAACATCTTAAAGATGTTTGTTTAACTTTTTGATTCAGTTTTATATTTTCTGTTGGTTGTATTTTATCCCAGCTTTTATGTAGTGTTAAAAAACTGAAACAGGAAGTGCTTCTGGACCAGTGTTGTTTACATCTTGTGAAATGGTCTATATATATATATATATATATATATACAGTATATATATATATAATATTCAGCTTTGATCAAAGGAATAAATTACATTTTAAAATAGAGTAAAATAGAATTTAATAAAATTTAATTTCAATTTAATTTTATTTTGATTCAAATAAATGAAGCCTTGGTGCAGAGCAGAAGAGATGTCTTTTAAAAACATTAAAAAAATCATACAGATCCAAGACTTTTGACTCGTAGTGTAGTCTGTACCTTGTTCTTCCCCATCATGCCCTGGATCTGGTAGCTGACTCTGCCGGCATAATGGGCCACAGTGAAATGAGGCTCTTTGCTGAATTTGTCCCAGCTGATATTGGCGTTATCCGACAGCTCCTTCTGCAGACGCACACCGAACTGCTTCGCATCCGATGCACGGTTCAGACGACACTCCTGAAGGACAGACCGACAGAAAGGGAAGGAAGGAAGGAAGAAGGCGACTTCATTAGTTCTATTAAAAAAGCTCTTTCACCGTGTATCAATAAACTATAAATAGTGGAATTCACTATATTCGCGATGCAAATTCAAATACAATGCAATACAACAGACGGAATTTTAAATTAATTTTTTAGTTACCGTCCATTCAGAACTTCTAATAACCAAAAAAAAAAAAAAAAAAAGAAAGAAAATAGAAAAGAAATGAACCAGATTAACTACGTCACAGCTTATATATATCAAAAATGTGTTTTAGTTAAGTCAATACTGTACCAAAAACATAATTTTTTTGGCGAATGTTGGAAAATAACAATGTTTTCTGCTAACCAAATGCTTTTTAATCTTCTATTGCTTCAATGTAAATAAACAAGCGTGCCGTTATTTGTTGTGTTGTGACGAGTGTGTTCAAGTAAGCCAGATATGAGCAGATTCTGTGTAATACGCTGTATTTAATATATCATGATAACTCACGAGTATTTGCGCAAAATCTGTTCAGATTTGACTTACATGAACTTCCCCAGCAAACTGAGTAAACATTTGTAACGCACAATTAATTGGCTAGTGATTTGATTTATTTTTGAAAGTGATTTTTACCGACGGGTGTTCATTTCAAACCCTGATTGCAATGCAAAAGAAACGCAAGATACTTTAACAAAGTCCGAGTTCACTCTCTGAGATAAGAAGTGGAAGCAGACCTCATTGAGGAGGGAGAAAATGCTGGAGGGACTGCCTTCAATCAGGTCCAGGCAGCCCTGGTTGTCTTGATAGCGTATGAAGGACCACTGAAGCCCCTCGGTCACGTACTCCTCCTGCTGGGCCTTCAGGTAATGAGCCACAAAGTGTTGCTGCAGCTTCTCGTTAGCGTAATTAATACACAACTGCTCCAGGTTGTTCAGGAGGAAACACTCAAAACCGTACACATCCAGCAGGCCTGTGGAAAACACCGGTCAAGGATTTATCCACATTGTTTACCATTTAGAAAGCAAAATTTACAGTAAAAGATTGACACATTAAAATTAATACAATTTAAATTTTTTTTCCTTTGAATAAATAAATAAATAGAATATGTACCAATAAAGTTGCACCACATGGAAGTGTCGGCACACATACTGTTGTTGATTAAAATGACTAACCAGTCAAACAGCCTGAAAAATGGGAAGAAGAAACAAATGTGAAATGTGATGATTAAAAAACTTGCACCAGTATTATAAAAAATATCAACTGTTCTTCAGTTTCAAAGGCGCTAGTAGAGTCAAAGATTGCAGAATTACTCAAGATACGTCACTCGTATTGTTTTGAATGGGGAAAAGTGCAACGCCCAATAAGTCATAAGAAATACGATTTCATTGGTGATTTCAAATATGAAATGTAATCGTTTTGGAGAATTGATTGGATGTTTCCCCATTCAAAAAGATAGCAGGTTCACTTGCATGCCCGAGAGGCGAGTGAAATGACTAGTCTTAAAGGGACTTTGGTAGAGTCTCATGAACGAGCTCAGAAGACCAACGGCCAAGGTCAGGATTTGTGTTTAATAATACATTGCATTTCAGTTTTTTTTTTACCAAACTCAATCATAAACCCCCAGAACACTTTGAATATACGACACGTGACGCATGGGACGTGCACAGACATTTTGAGGGGCAGGGGCTCAAGTGAAAAAAAGGGCACTTCTCATAATGTTTTTTACATTTATTTTACTTTTTTTAAACAAAAAAGTATATATTAACAACTCTAATATTTTTTTAAAATATTAATTAATTTTATCTTCCTCAAACTCATACAATTCTTTAACTTTCAAAAGATGTCTACAAAATAATCAATTCACACAGAAATCATGGTCTCCTTAGTATTCATATAAGGAAACCATGCCACAGTGTGTCAATCAAAGACATATTTGATACACCTGATGGTGACATGCACTTCACATTTGAGGGAGAACTGTATCACCATCAAATAAAACCTTCAAAATCCACATTTCGAGTTTGTTTCTGTTTGCATCTGTAGATTTCTTCTAAATTCACCAATTTAGATTTCTAAACTTCAGGGGAAAGACTCTTGATGTAGCTATGTAAGTCATTAACTCTAATAATAAGAATTTTAGGCCATACAAATTCATAAAAACGTCCGGATTTTCCATACAAGGCCATAAATTTCATTTAGCCACATCTTAAATTGATATGCTCATTCATTCATTATCACTATATTGAGGGAGGGCGTTCTCGCATTTAGCTCCAAAACTCTGGAATGGCCTTCCCGATACGGTCCGAGCCTCTGACTCGCTGACACAGTTTAAAACTAGATTAAAGACGCATCTCTTTAGTCAAGCATTCACATAAAAATGCTTACCTTCTAGTCCTCTGTTATGCCATACGGACCCGTTTGCCACTGAAACTGCTTAACGCACCAGTGGGGCTCGACAGCCTTTTAGACAAACGGGTCGGCGCGTATGGTTGGGTTGCGGTTGGGTTGCGGAGAGTTCGGGTTACGGAGAGTTTGTGAGTTATAACGGAAATCATTATGAACATCAGCTATGCTAATTATTTCCCATCTGCCTTTCTGCTGTTATCTCGGGACGCTTGTCCCGAGAAAAATGGCGTTCGTCAGGTCCAGTTTTGTGTCCAGCCTCTCACGGGGATTTCGGATGCCCCAACGCCTGTGATGAGACGACTCAACGCCTGTGAAGAGACGACTCAACGCCTGCGATATGTTATGGCGCCGATTTATTCATAAACAATATTTATATTTAATATTTATATTTAAACAATATGAATGTAAGCCAGAGGAGAACTGGCCCCCGACTGAGCCTGGGTTCTCCCAAGGTTTTTTCTCTAGAGCCAGACCGATATATCGGCAGACCGATATTATCGGCCGATATTAGGCATTTTCCAAACTATCGGTATCGGCAGTTATAATGGCCGATAAATGAATATTTCAAAAATAAAATAAAAACGGACGAAACCCGCTTCAACCATGTCATGAGTGTTGTATAGTTTGTCCACCAGAGGGCACTCTACACCGTTCCTGTTGGCAACACTCGTTGAGTTGGTCACGATACATACAATTAAAAGAACGTCCCCATCAGTTCTCGTAACTGAAATAAGCATGACAAAATTTGTGGCCGGCGGAAGTTTCCTTGGCCAGTTATATTGAAAATGTATGTTTTACAATTTGCAGTATGACGTTATCCATTGCTAAATTATGGTTCATCATAGACTAGCTAACCATAAAGCTAGTTAATGCCACTATCATCAGTCTGTTCTGTTGTGACAATAAAAGAAACTTTTAGAAAGTTTCTTTTTAAAATGCATTATCATATTATTTTGGTTAACTCATAAATAACTACAAATAACTAATGTTAGGGAAATCTGTTAATGTTTTGTTGCGCCTTTCTGAAATAAAAAAAAAAAAAAATATCGGCCGATATATCGGCATATCGGATTTTAAAACCCAAAAATATTTGTATCGGTATCGGCCCTCAAAATCCTTTATCGGTCGGGCTCTATTTTTCTCCATCCAATCTGATGGAGTTTTGGTTCCTTGCCACTGTCGCCTTGCTTTTGGCTTGCTTTGAGCTTGCTCAGTTGGGGTTATTTAGTGTTTAGCAATGTTGTTGATCCTGTGTTGTGCTACTTTCATGTTATCAGTGTGAAGCTGCTTTGATACAATCTGTATTGTGAAAAGCGCTATATAAATAAATGTGACTTGACTATACAATTTTTCGCGATAAAACGATATCAAGTTCGAGTCAAAATCGTCAATACTTGATATCAATATAGAGTCCGATAAACGTTCGATAATATTTATGTGGCAAAAGCACATCGAAACTCAGTTGATGCACGCGCCTCACGGACTGTTTATCCGCTCGGCTCAAAGTCCAAACGGCACTAGAGGCGACGCGTTTACTCTGATCGGCGCTTCAGAACTCCTCCTGACCTGATATTTAGATGCACTATGCATTAAATATATTTGTTTGACAGGGAAACTGTGCGCAAATTGTAATATGTATTTTCTTAAAAAATAAAATAAAAAAGCACCCCAGAAAAAAATGGCACTTTCTCTCCAGGAATAAAAAGGGCAGGTGCTCAAGCCCCCTTTGATGTCTATGTGTGCACGTGCCTGCGTGACGCATGGGATCATTCTGTTTTTTTTTTTTTTTTTTTTTAAATCTTGATGCTGGTCGCTATGCACTGCCATTATATGGACAAGCAAGAGCAGGATTTTTTTTTTAATTGCTTCTTTTCTTGTCATCATTCTGCATTAGAACAAAACCAGGGCGAGTAAATTATGACTTTATTTTAATTTTAGGCAGAACTATCCCTTTAATGCAACAGTTTTTTGATGTGGTATTGAAATTGGCACAGACTACTGAAATGTTGGTATACCGTGACAAATATTAGTATGTTGCGTTTAATAACTAATGCAACGCTACAAATCCATAAAATATATCTCTACAAACGTTTTATATGTCGCGTTTATACGTCTGTGACTTACCGCGCATAAATGGCTTTAGCAAGACAGTCTCTGCGGACGGTGCACTCCGACCGAGAGCACGGTTTGAGGATGTTCTGTTTGCCGGCGCGCAGATTTCTCACTGTCAGACACGACCGCAGCTCATCTAACGGCACCTGCAGCAGGGCAGCGGTCTTCTGCAGGAAACCTGCACACAACACAGAGTCCTAATTTATTTCATTTTTCATTTCATTTCATTTATTCGGTTTGGTCATTTACAGATCATTCAATCAATCAATCAAATCATCAAAACATTCGAAACATAAACACTATACTGTAGATGACCAGGTGCAGGCGGAAGCTAAAGCTTATTAGAATCAAATGCAACTCATTAATGACAACATCTGTTCATAAATTTAACATTAACACATTAGTGGACCATTGTCTACACCAGAAGCAAGCCTGTATAATTCATTTTTATTCTATTGTATATTTTTCCAATGTTATTCTCTTGTAAAAATTTTTAAACTGAAAAATAGACGTGGCTTGTTTTAACTCATTACAACAACTATTACACAATTTAACTCCTTTATTTGATAAACAGTGTTGTATCAAATATACATAATCCTCTAAGATCATATTTACTTTCTCCCTGGGAAAATAACAATTGCAAACATTTAGGAGTTTTATTATATTTGACTTGGTAAATAAATTTTAACGTGTACAAATCAACTAAATCATGAAACTTCAAAATTTTTGATTGATGAAACAGTAAATTACTAATTGCAAAGTTAATTAATCTGATAACCTTCTTTTGTAATAAAAAAATTGGATTGGTTCTAGTTTTGTCTGTATTTCCCCAAATTTCAATACCATACGTTAAGTATGGTGTGACAAGTGAACTATAAAGTAAATGTAATGTATTTTTACTCAAAATATACTGCAACTTGTACAAAATTGCAATCGTTTTTGATACTTTCTTCTGAAGGTTAAAAATATGCGGTTTCCATGTCATTTTACAATCAATAATTACTCCAAGAAATTTTATATGATTTACTCTTTCTAATGTATTTTCATTAATAGTATTCCTGATCTCATTATTTAACTCTTTATTACTAAATACCATGAATTTCGTTTTATTTAAATTTAGCGACAATTTATTCAAATCAAACCAATTCTTTCTCTACCACCAACACAAGCTCTGTAAGATTTGGGCCAGAACAATAAATTGTTGCATCATCCGCGAAAATTTAAACAAAAAACATCATAATTTGGCTATTTTCTATCCTCTCACAGGAAAGTGGTGGCGAGAGAGGAGGAATGTGATGGAGACATGTCACAACCCAGACATGAACTTGCATCACCCATAATAACAGCACTTTGTCTCGTCATGTCTGGAATAAGCACCTTAGCTAATTCACAGCCATAACTTTGCTTTTTAGATCAACAAAACAGCAGAAACACCACACCTTCGGAGTGCCCTTCAAGATCACATGGTTGAGCCTCTTCTGATGCAAGACTGAAGTCTACATTCCCCAGCTGCAGAAGACCTGCAAGGATCTTTGCAAAAAAAGTCATTTTCACATCATTTATTTCCATAATTTTACTTATCAACAGCCACCAACTCCAGTCCACACTCTCTCATCTCCTATGTTGTTATTTTGGTGTGTGAACATGCAACAAAACCTCAAGGCGAATTTGCACTGAGAAATCAAACAAACTTTTCATCTCTCAGGTCTACTTTAGTGTGTGGTGTATTTTAGTTATTTAGTCTCTACCCACTATTCATACTTAATAACATCAAAAAAGTTGAACCCTTGTGCATCAATTAAAAAAAGTTACACAGGTAAAAAGAGGACAAAAATGTCCATGTCATAAAAATGCGCTTTGGAGCACAGACTTAAGTTTGGTATCATTTTAAAGAAGACCCTTTGCAGATTATTTCTGAAGTAAAAAAAATAATAATAAGTAAATCCAAAAAAAGTTATATAGGTATAAGTTTATGAAAATTATTTATAAAAAATATTTTATATAAAATATATATTTTATAAATCAGGTTGAACTCAAAACTGCAATAAAATCAAAGCCATAAATCTAAATAGGCTGTGTTCCAAATTTGAGAATGATATCTCAAAAAATGAGCTTTCGGTAACAGTTTGTTTGGGCGTAGTAACATATTTTCCCCATTGGGTGCCAGCAAAACCCCACTGGAGCTCACAGATTACAAACACACACACACACATTTTTATAACACACATACTAACCACACTCTGACATCCATACCAACACATCCACACAAATATTGTTGCATAATTTATCCAGTTGGCTCTATAATATGCCGAAGCAGAAAACAGGAATAAAGCGATTTTTGTTTTATAGGCCAAACTTAAAAAAAATGGCACCATCTGATAAAAAAATAGTAAAAAATAAAATTTTGAAGCCTTGCCATCAGAATGAAAGCCTCTTAACAAAGATTGCATAATTTTATAGTTAACTGAACCGGGGATTAAAAATGGCAGTTTTAATGGGTTTCAATGGGGACATTTTTGTCCAAAAGGTGCTGAGAGGGAGTATTTTTTGTACCTAATGCAAAAAAATATTTTTTTAAGAAATCGACAGCGAAATAGTAAAATTCCAATAAAAATACACACCTGTGCAAAGTTTTTTGCAGTTAGCTTTAACACAGGCAAAGTGATCAAAAAAACAAAACTGAAAAGGACAAAAATGTCCATAAGGATGCACAAGGGTTAATTAATCAGTCCGCACCACCAAGTGTAATCAGTATCTAAAAACCCAACACCCAATCATGAGGTTTTGCCCTTGTCACAACTTACCCTGAAAATCTGTGCCCGTTTCGCCTCATCAATGCCAAGGTTGATCATGGCATCCATCGTCTCTTGCAGACAGTCTTCTGCTCAGACAACCAGAATGCAAGATGTCAAATATTAGAAGAGCCTCCTCAAATTCCTCATAAAACACTTCACGAAGTATTTTAAACTATATTATCACCCAGATCTTTATATAAAGTTGGATATATAGGTATGACCATCTTTATTGATCGCAAAATGTAAATTATATAATTGTCCAGCTCTTATCTGCTAAATGTGACTACGGTGAAAATCTAGCTTTTAATGTTGTTAATATGTCTACGTGATGTTTTTAATATGCTTTAAAACCGTGTGTAAGTTCATAAGTGGACAGTATTGAGTATTTCCTCCTTAAAACTGAAAACACGTCTCAAAAACACGCTTTGAAATCGCTGGTGTTTCTGATGTCACAAACAACCTTGTAACCAATCAGATCAACGTGTGATCGTCAACCAGTGGATCTCTGAGTGAGGGAGTGAGTGGAGGCGGGGCTCATTTGCATATTCATAGAACCACGTATATTAAATGAGGCAAGGGTGTCGAGTTACATTCACGTTATTTTAAGGAAAAAACATTTAAATATGCCATTTTGGTGATCAAAGATGAGCTTTTAACCCTAAAACCGTATTCTGGACAAATGTGGGCAAAACAGTTTTGATTTATTTTTAAAAAATACTTCCCTTGATCTGAGCGGTACAAGACTTGGCTACTTTTACTAAGTTTGCCTCCTGAACACACACAATTATTTTTTGACTCAATTCTACAATGTTAAGTGGGTGAAAAAAAAAACTTAATCTTGCATTTGGGTCAAAAATTGGCAGCCATAGAAATGAATGGGAAATAAAATAAATAAAAAATAAATTATTTTGTTAAATAAAAAAAAGAAAAAGAAAAAAAGGAATGAATGGGAAAAAATAAGCCAAAATAAGACACCAGGTGACAGCAAAGTCACTTCATCTTTAGGTTTTAGCTCTAAGAACTTATTGGAATGATATTTTAAATGTAGTTAAAAACAAAAAAAAACATAAAAATAAGCATAATTTACATAGAAAATATGGTACTTTTTGACGTAAATAAATTCAAAAATACCCCCAAAATAAAAAAAACACCATAAATGGATAGACAAAACTTTATCGAAGACAGTGATAAAACATTTATAATAAATAAAAATTAGGATCACACCTGAATCCTCTGTACCCACATTTGTAGGATTAAGGGCTATAAAGTGAATACGGGCTAAGGGATCATATTATTGACTACGGGGGACTTTAACTTTATTTCTTGCCTTCTAATGTTCTCTCAGCAAGAGGCAACCAAGCAAAGTCTTGTTCCAAAGGCAGCATCCAATCCAGTCTCTGTTTGTCTGTGGCTCCTTTCACCATCTTCAAATCAAACCAACAACAACCAACATAGAAATGAACACAAAATTGTCTGACTAACTGACACACGGTTATGTTTGTAGATGAAGTACACATAAAGGGCCTTAGCATGATAGCATTACTGTAAATGGGTATCTTTTGTAGTATTTGTATTGTAAGGTAGGTTTTGTGAATGCTGGCTCTTACTTCACCTGGTAAAATATGTGAAAATTTCTTTCATTTGGTGCTTGGATAGCCACTCTTGTCTTCTCCAAGAGATACGTATGCACTGACGCCCCAACCAGCAGCTGAGAGCTGAAATATAAAATCACAGTGGTTTAAAACAATCACAAGATGCTTTAGGGTCATGTGCCTGAAGTCGACGAAACTGACCCGTTGAGCTGAAGCTGGATGTATTTTCCAAAGCGACTGCTGTTGCTGTTGCGTAATGTGCAGGCATTGCCTGGGGATGAAGGGAAATCAATTTAGGATATCACTGAAAATCATAGAAGAAGCAAAAGTACAACATTAAATGCTCTCAGTATTTCTCACCAAACGCCTCCATGATGGGGTTGGAGTCCAGTACTCGTTTTTCTATCTTCTCAACAGTGTTCTGGGACTTCTGAGACGAGGTGGCCACAGTGGCATAATACTTCATCAGACAACGTGACGTCCATGTCTGAAGAGAAGATGTGGTCTAAATCCCTTTGATTGGTGTTAAACTTAATATGTGTTTGAAATATTGAGCTTGACAGACAACTTTCCTGCATTTTTATATTAAGAGCAAAATTCAGAACATAAAATGTTCTTTATAAACTTTAATAATTTTCTAACATGCAGATCTTTCTGAAGAATCTCATTCACAATGTCAAAAACAAACAGCAAGTATATTTGAAACAAGTTAATTTTAGCCTGATCTTTTTCCCAAAAGCATCGTTAGCCAACAACACTGTAAAAAACAAAAGTTGCAGCTTTACATTTTTAAGCAGAATTAACTTGGATATTTAAATCACTTAAAGGAGTAGTTCACTTTTAAAAAAGCTTTTGCTGATAATTTACTCGCCCCCATGTCATCCAAGATGTTCATGTCATTCTTTCTTCAGTCGAAAAGAAATGAAGGTTTTTGATGAAAACATTCCAGGATTTGCTCCATATAATGGACTTCAATGGGGTCCAAACGTTCATTTTGTTCGTTGAATGAACCAAATGACACGAAAAAAGATTCGAACAGGAGAGTCACGAACGTGCATCACAGAACAGAGCAAGGTGACCATTTGAGCTTATAAAACTTAAACTTTAAAAGCTTATAAAAATAAAATTTACTTATTAAATGAGCGATCGTTTCGCTTGATTCATTGTCTGGTGTCGTTTAAAGCCCTTTGAACAGTTTGCACTGAAACTCTCTTTTGGACCTTGAACCGTTTGGTTCCCATTGAAGTCCATTATATGGAGAAAAATCCTGGAATGTTTTCATCAAAAACCTTAATTTCTTTTCGACTGTAGAAAGAGCATGATCGCGGGCACGATCAAACTGTGTGTGTGTGTGTGTGTGTGTGTGTGTGTGAGAGAGAGAGAGGCGAGGGCATGATCAGACAGTGGAAATATAAAAATATGTTCATACGGGACATCATTCAAACTGCAAAGTGTTTACTTATATTTGTGTACACTCGCAATAAAACACAACATTGTGCTTTTGTCCTACTCTAAACTCATGTCAAACTGTAACCTGTCACCCAACCAAAAACACACACACACACAGTTTTAAAGGCAAAACATATTGATCCAACCCCATTTCAAAACAATCTGTGGTGCTATTAGGGTTAATTAAAATTAAGGAAAACAAATATTGCACTGAAATATAGCAAATTAATTTTAAATTCATTCAGGTACAATTACCGAATATATCTCAAGGTCTTTTAGTATTTTTATTAATTTAATTAATAAACTAATTATATAAAACTATTGTCAGTGCACTACAAATATAAACTGGTTCTATGCCTTTATTAATAAAACTTATTTAAAAAATACAAGGCTAAAGACATTTATACAAATGCCTTCTGCATTTTTGTTTTGCTTTTCACTCCATTGTACCGAAATCGAACCGAACCGTGACTCCCACTTACCTTCCCAGCTCCGCTCTCTCCAGAGACGACCAGCGATTGGTTCATGGGCTCCACCTGGCCTTGCACATTCCTATACGCCTCTTCTGCTACGATGAAGATGTGTGGCTTAAATTCCTACGTACAAAGAGACGCTTTAACATTGCCTTCTATATAACAGTGCTTTCTGTGAACCCACCATAATATAATTTACCCTCACCTGTCCCAGAAAATGGCCATAAAATATTACTCAAGTCAATATCATCTAGAGTGACCTCAGTTTACTTATATCCAACTTCCTGGTTTGCAATTTTACATTCTCAGATGTCAAAATAAACATGCAGAGGAGAACAAGCATTGTTCATGGCGTAAATACGAAAAGATCAATTCTTAAATAATAGTTTAATAGTTTGTATTTTACTTTTTTGCACAAATTAATGGCAGCTGGGGACCAGAAGACGCAACAAAGGCATTATAGACCGTGTTTAAAATATAAAAAGTTAAAAACTGACTCATTGACTTCATATTGAGTCCCACTGAACACACCAGGTGTGCAAACATTGTTTTGACACTGTCCTCCGCTATGACAAAAGGCAGATCATCCCGTCATCTGTTATGCATTAACAACACAGATCTCTAGTTTCAAAAGACAACATGCTACTGGAGATGTGTGTCATGACTTAAAATCTTTATATCTTGGTTAATGTAGATAATCACAACGTAGTTATTTTGCTTCACTCAACAACAATTTAACCAAGAAATATGTTCTGTACTACATACTCAAGCAGTAATGTCTATTTTTGATCAATTTGATAACGCAAATACTAAATATATGAAACGTCTGAGCCATGCTTGAAGCTGTTGTACAATAACCTACAGTTACACCTCGTTAAATACAAGGATACAAAATAATTGGTAACACTTTACAATAAGGTTCATTAGTTAACATTAGTTAACTACATTAGCTTCAGCATTTATTAATCTTAGTTAATCTTAATTCCAACATTTACTAATACGTCATTAAAATCAAAGGTTGTATTAGTTAACATTAGTTAATGCACTGTGAACTAACATGAACGCACAATGAACAGCTGGATTTGTATTAACTAACATTAACAAAGATTAATAAACACTGTAACTAATGCATTGCTCATCGTTAGTTCATGTTAGTTAATGCATTTACTAATGTTAACTAATGAACCTTATTGTAAAGTGTTACCAAATAATTCCCATTCAACAAAGCTGTTGTTTTTAGTGCAATAAAGTTGCCTTCTGCAATGCAGTTTGCTATACTTAACATAAATCTACCAATAAATGGCATGAAGCGTCAAACCCACCCAGCCCTACATACAGTATGATATGACCATACAAACATGCCATGGCGTCCACAGCAAAGCATTTGTAACTTCTACATGTAAATGTCTGAGATGTACTGAGTCTGAGTTTACCTGAGGCTGAGGGGCGGAGTGATATTCCCTCATCACATCCAGAGAGTACAGGTGAGGGATGGGCTGGAAAGGGTTTAGGGCGATCAGCGTACAGCCGGCATGTGTGTAGAAAACCTTCGCGCTGTACCTGGCCTGCAGACATTTCAGCACTGAACAACACACAAACACCACAGCAGGACTTAAACACTGAGTCACGATAGCAGAAGAGCTAGGTCAAATAGTTATTCATGTTACTTGTATTTAGTAGGGCTGGGGTAAACGATTATTAACTAAACGATTAGTTTGGGCCCTGCTTATTTTCTGCTTAAAACTGCAGTGAACCAAAGACAGCCTCAAAAACACAGGTTGAAATCGCTGGTGTTTCTGACATCACAAACGACCTTGTAACCAATCAGATCAACGTGTGATCGTCAACCAGTGGGTGATTGAATCGAAATGCGATCTTTGACTTTTACCGATTGATTGCGCAGCTCCATGGTTGATATTATGAATATCAACCATGAATATTGAAATATTATTGAATATTGAATAGGGGTGCACGATTCAGAAAATGTCACGATTCGATTCGATACCGATTTTTTGTCTCGAGATTCGATTCAAAATCGATTTTCGATTCAAAAACGATTCTCGATTCAAAAACGATTCTCGATTCAAAAAACGATTCGCAGGTCTACATAAATGTAGTTTACTTTTTCCTATGTGATTGATTGCAGTAGACATAATTTAAAAGAAAAGTTTGATATTACTTTATATGTCTTCATACAAAAATAAAAACTTTTGCAACTAAAAAGTGCGAAGTGCCAAGCTTTGGCCAGCTTTTAAATACATTTAATTCAAGTTTAAAATAAAACTTAAATAAAAAGCTTTTACATTTAGCTTTAAAGTGCTGTAGTCAGATCAAACAAACAATTATGCTAAATGTGGTTTAAGGAGTAGGTCTACTTCAGCTACCAGGTTGACTGTTGAAATGTGAACTCGACTGGGCACATTGAACTTCCTAAAAATATATACTAATTTCATAAAACCCTTGCGAAAATATTTTAAATAGATTTTAAAAAGCCACCGCTACTGGTAACATCTATGGTTAGATTGATTTGTTTAGATCCAGTGAAGTCGTTCATAGGCGCGTAATTTGCGGGTATCTCCAGTTAACTAGCAGAGCATTCATTTAGTTCGCTATTAAATAAGAGACCTGTTGTTTTTGAAATCAAGCTGAGCGGTCGTGTCCGCTGCGATCAGTGTCATGGATATACAGTGTTCTCTGTGGCTCGCGCAGTCTTCTCTCTGACGCGCACTTCAATCTATCGCCGTTGTGGAGACTCCGGTGAAATCACAAAATAAAATGCACACAAACGTGATGAACATATTCGGTTTTGATGAGAGAGAGAAAAAACTATACGAGTGCGGTTTAGAACCCGTAACCTCTGACACGCTTGGCAAAAGATCTACAGAACTCAAACATAAGATCTGCGGATCGATGCATTTATTTACGGGTTGAGCAGAGTGGCTGCACAGTTTGACCAGCGGGCGGCAAGAACTTGCAATAACTATTTATCAGACCGGCCCTCGCAGCCTCGAAACCATAGAAACACTACCGGACCACCGGTAAAAGTCCCGACTTACCCGATTGCCACTCCGCCCCTGCACGCCATTAAAAAATATAGCCTATGAATCGATTTTTGGAATTCTATGAATCGATTCTGAATCGGTAAAGATTGAATCGCGATTCAAATGTGAATCGATTTTTTTGCACACCCCTAATATTGAAATATTATTGAATATTGGAATATTGAAATATTCATGAAATATTATGCATATTTACTTATTCAAGATCCAACCTAGAAATTCAGAAGCTAAAACTAAAATCAGGCGAAAGAATATCATCTGAATTGCTTTTGCACACACACACACACACTGTACCTGTAGAGGGGGTGACCGGGTTGACTTTAGTGAGGTCATCGTACGTGTGAAGTTCAGCTTCATCGATGAGGAAGTCTCTGATGTCCACTTCCAGTGAATCATTGAGAGGTTTCCCGAAGCCCTGGGCTTTTTCTGTCAGTCCATTTACCTGCATAATGCAAATAAATCTGCTCAGAGCATGCATTCAGAAATAACTGTCCACACACTGACTGTACTGATGCAGCAAGCAATCACATTTAGAAACGTTTCATGTGTACAAGCCCTGATGGGGTTCTGCACAACATTAAAATGCAAATGTAATTAGAGATGCACAGATTTGAATATTTTGGCAGATACCGATAACCAATAATTCTTTATGTTTGAAAGCCGATAACCGATATATATAGACTGATAAATCTAAAATCCACATTTTTTTGAGAGCCTGATTACAAAAACCTCACCAATACAAAGAGCAATGTGTAACGTTTTACCAGAGTTAGTGCTACACTTCTTGTCTCTTATTTGTTCCCCACTAAGGAATGTTTTTTTTTTTCACTAAATGTTCAGATTTTATACAATTATTGTGCACTTGTGATTTTTCTAGGCTAAGTTTTGCTGAGTTATCCACTAATCTAGTTTACAACAGCATTTTTGTCATAGGCTATGGTCATATATATATTTTATTTGTTGTTTTTCTTTATAACGAAGTTGTCTGTATAAAGTAGATTGTTTAACACACAAAATAGTGATTATCAGATCAATGAGGCCTCACCCTGCTCGCCACAACCCTGATTTAGGGTTTTATTTAGTTATAATAAACAACAAAAATTAAATATAATTTTTTATCCGATTAATCGAAAAAAATAATCGTCCGATTAATCGATTATTAAAATAATCGTTAGTTGCAGCCCTAGTCACCATTAAAATCCACGTCCCAAGCAAACAATTATAACGTACTCATTATAGTTTTATGTAGCCGATATGACAGACTTGCGCTGCCCCAACTGTATTTTCCTTTATTGAAGTGATTCCAATCATATTTCAAGCAATTCAAAATGTTACACTTTGTGTCGTCATGTTGAACAGTGCGCATCTTTAGAGTCTCAGCTGAAGGAAATAATACATTATTATCGGCTTTAATACATCGGCCATATTTTCTTATCGGCCCGATAACGATATAACATTAAAATCTGTTCTTATCGGCCGATACCGATAGGATGATCAACCTTTTGAATTGCTTGAAATATGATTGGAATCAATTCAAAAAGGAAAACACAGTTCTGTCATATCAGCTACATAAAACTATAATGAGAATAACATTATAATTGTGTGCTTGAGACATGGATTTTAATTAGGAGACTTTAGTTTTTGTAATCAGGCTCTCGAAAATGATGTAAAAATTTGGATTTAGATGTATCGGACAAAATATGGGTTATCAGCTTTCAAATATCAGTTCAGTATCGGCCAAAATTCTCATATCGGAGCATAGTTTCAGAAAATTATTAGGCCTACTTGTCATATTTCTCACGTCTTTGAGATCTGACTAACTGCCTGTACTATTCCACTCTTGAAAGACGCTTGCAGGCAAATGTTCCTAATGAGCGACGACAACAGAGCCAAAAAAATTGCGTATAAACAATGTAATAAATTAAGTTGCACGTCCTTCCTCTGATTCTGCTGTGAATCCACATGTTTAATGACAGCATGTGTTGAGAAGGGTCAGGACAGGCTGAAGAAGACAAGCTAATTATACACAGTACACGCCGTCTGTTGGACAGGCCTGCTCCTAATCCAATTAACAAGGTAAACGACAGCAACACTACCTGGTTAAGTACAGACTCAGAGATCACATTGACTAATGACAGATTAATTCAGAAACATCTAACAAATCGATTACATTTAAACATGATCCAGTTTCAACTCCTAGGCTGGCACCAACACTGAAGTCATGAATAATAATAGATTGGAAATAACGAGATGATGACTGTATCTGTGGGCACTAAACTAGACATAATACCCGAGGGTGACCTTTAATAGTGCAACTTTACTAGACTAGAATGAACATATCAAAGCACACGAACACAAACAACCTGGACAGACTGTATTTTTCTGATATAAAGTTATGCCAAAAAGGAGAGCATGGGTAGTTTTGTGCGCATGCGCAGATTAGGTTGACCTGCTGAATAATCTAGCCTTTTTCAGATTAACTGCATCACTGCTTAATCCGCCAATGACAACACGAGCCAGGTCAATGAATATGCAAATGAAGTAACACCGGAAAAACAAGACGATTCATCTAGCCTAGTGATTAACGTTACATATAATCACAGTAAATAACTTTATCAACAATTATTTATTGTTAAACGCATTAGAAAACTAGTCAAGGGTGACATTTATTAGGCCTATTTTTTTTTTAATTACTTCCTTTAAAAACATAACGTGTGACGTTATTGTTAGAACAGGAATAATAGTAAGCTACATTATTATTATTATTATTTATTTGTGTGTGTGTGTGTGTGTGTGTGTGTGTGTGTGTGTGTGTGTGTGTGTGTATTTCTTCTTGTCACAGAAATTTCTCCTTGTGATGAGAAAATTAGAAAACTATGAATACTTATGTGGACCATTGTACTACCAAGTTTTTTGGACATAATATCAGGTTTGGGGCATGTGCCTTTGTAACAGGCTAACAGTTACCATGGTACTATCTGAATATTATGGTACATAAACAATAATTCAGTACCATTGTTTGTAATATTTGATAACACAAGGATTTTTTTGTAACATGTTGCTTTCAGAAAAACGTTTATTTTCCTGTTCAGTTTGTCAGTTTAATTTCTTTCTTTTTTGTTGATGATAAATCTTAAACCTTGTTATACGTAAAGAAAAAGTGATGTCAACGTATTAAATGAGGAGGGAAAAATAAAGTTAGTGTAAGTTAGCGTTAACGTTACCTTTTCCTTCTGTCGATTTAGTCTTCCAGGTTTTTCCAAACTCCCGTCAGAGCCGTTAGTGTTTATAACGGTCGAAACGTCTTTATTTCGGAATAAAAGCTTCTGTTTGACATTCGCCATGATTGTAAACTTTAGACAGACGCGTTTCGCGGTATTTACTTGTTCATATCTCTGCCGTTATTTAATGTTTTTCAGCCATGAAAATTCCTCAGTGAAGGACAAAACTCCCTCTCGCGCGCGACTCACACCGGCGGGCACTGACACGCGCAGTAACGTCACTCAAGAACAGTCGCCGCCCATATAGTGACGTTTCATGTAAGCCACGCCCAACGCGGAAAAGAAACATTCCAGTGCCAATGTGCGACGACACTTTGTTATAAACTGAGGATTATGAATGAAAAATAAACGATTTATTAGAGGAATGTGCATTTCGACTATTTAATGAACAGATACAAGTACAGTAATGATGCATAAGAGTCCCTGTTTAGTGTGTTAAACCGGTTTATCCTGACAGACCACTGCATTAATGTGCTTTCTGTAGGTTAGTCTCACTACACATCACACGGGAAGAGGTAAGTCACATTTTTTATAATACAATAGCAAAAGTGTGTTTCTTGATCAAATCGCTTAAGTGGTATTATTTCCTCTTGAGATCAAAATTACCATGGTCAAATTTAGGATTGGACTACCATACGAATCAGACAACATTTTGACCAATTAATGCATTATTAATTAATATATAATATACTATATATACACTGCCGTTCAATTTTTGAGAACAGGTAAGATATTAATTTTTTTTAAATAATTATATTCTGCTCACCAAGGCTGCATTTATTTGATAAATTAAAATAATTACAACTTAAAATATCTGCTTTCTATTTGAATATATTTTAAAGTATAATTTGATAATCCTAATATGATGATTTGATACTCAAAAATATTCTTTATTATTATTATTATCATCAATGTTAAAATCACTGTTTCATTTATTTGAAGTAGAATCTTTTGTAACATTAGAGATGTCTTTACTGTAACTTTTGATGAATTGAATGCATCTATACTGAAAAAAAATATTGATTCCCTTTTGAACGGTTGTGTATCATTTTTAAAAAGCTTTCTATTTCAGATAAATGCTGTTCTTTTGAACTTTCTATTCTAAAAAAAAAAACTGTTTTTAACATTGATTATAATAAAAACATTTCATGAGCATCTAATCATCTTATTAGAGTGATTCCTGAAGGATCATGTGACACTGAAGACTGGAAATATTTACAGGAATAAATTACACTTTACTATATATTCACATAGAAAACCTCTTTTAAAGGAGTAGTTCACTTTTAAAAAAAGTTTTGCTGATAATTTACTCACGCCCATGTCATCCAAGATAAGATAAGATGTCCATGTCTTTCCAAGGTGACCATTTGAGCTTATAAAACTTAAACTTTGCAATGGTTTCGCTTGATAAGACCCTTATTCATCGGCTGTTGTCGTTTAAAGCCCTTTGAACAGTTTGCACTGAAACACTGAAGTTTGTCTTTTGGACCTTGAACCGTTTGGACCCCATTGAAGTCCATTATATGGAGAAAATCCTGCAATGTTTTCATCAAAAATTTGTGTATCATAATCTAAATAAACTATGTTTGTTTCTTTTTACAGACAATGGCATCCCCAGACGAGAAAGTTGCGTTTGTCAGCAATCTGAACGGCACGAGCCTGACGGAGGTCTCTCTGGGATCCTTCTTAGCCCCGCTGTGTTTCCTCAGTCGAGGTCTTTTCCTGATCGTTTTCCACCTGGGAAACGGGATTCTCCCGTTATCCCGTGCATCCCATCTCCTGTTGGACTTCACATCTCTAATAATGCCTTTGGTCCTGTCGTGCACCGCGTTAAGCGACATCCTTCACTTTGTGATCGTGGGCATTGCTGTGGTCGACTCCGTTGTCCTGTACCTCGTGTACAAGAACGGAAAGCGAGGTTCCTTCTCCGACACGATGGACAAGTTCGTGAAAAGCAGAGTCGAATCAAACCAAGTCCCGTTTGTCACCGTGTTCCGCGTCCTAGTCAACGTGAAGACCGCCATAAGCATCCTAGCTGTGGATTTCAGCGTGTTCCCAAGACGTTACGCGAAAACAGAGACGTATGGAACGGGGGTGATGGATTTCGGTGTGGGCGCGTATGTGATCGCCAATGCTTTGGTGTGTCCCGAAGCAAGAGGAAAGACGATACGAGGATCGAAGATCAGTCAGTTTGTTTCGGTCTGGCCTTTGGTCCTGTTAGGGTTCGTGAGGCTTGCAAGCGTTAAATCATCCGGCTATCACGAACATGTGACGGAGTATGGGGTTCACTGGAACTTTTTCTTCACGTTAGCCATCGTCAGGCTGGTGGCGTCCGCACTTCTGGCTCTCTTCCCGGTGAACTCCTCGGGGATTCTTGCTGTGTTCATTGGGGGAACGTACCAGGTTATCTTGGAAACAACAAGTCTGAAGGCCTTTCTCGTTCACGGTGGTAATCGCAGCGGGTTTCTGGAGGAAAACAAAGAGGGGATCTTCTCAGTCGTGGGTTACATTGCCATCTACATGGCTGGGGTTCAGATTGGACATTACCTCATGCAAAGCAGAGCTTTAGTTCAAGACTGGATCCGAGTGACCCGTAACCTTCTGTTGACTAGCCTCGGCTTGTTTTTGGCTTTACACGTGTGCCAGAGAAGCATCGAGCCGGTTTCACGCAGAATGGCTAATCTTTCCTTCTGCGTTTGGACTGTAGCGCAAGCCATGTTCTTTCTGTCATGTTTAAGCATTGCTGATTTAGTGTTACTGTTTTCTAAAGTCATTTCTAATTTTTCACTTGTGTCTGCATCGTGGTGTCCACATCCCAAGAAAATCAGAAATAATATGGATGCATTATGCCTCATACAGTCTGTTAACCGGAACCAGTTGTTATATTTCCTGCTGGCGAATGTCATGACGGGTTTGACCAACGTGTTCGTAGACACTCTGAAGGCCAGTGATGCTGTAGGCGTGAGTGTTTTGCTCCTGTATATGTTCACGAACAGCTTGGTCATATTCATTTTGCATGTTAATAAAATAACCATTAAGTTCTGGTAAACACCTTTATTTTAAGCTTGGATCTCTGTGTGCAAAAACGTTGTAAATATGATGTTACTATATGTGTAATCTGTGTTATTTATCAAATATTAAAGAAGTTTTCATGGCAGTATTAGATGCACATAACGTGGACATCACATCACATCAGAGATTTAGATTTTTGTCTTTTTATGTGCTCTAATTGGCCAATATTTCTTTTATCGCAGTTTTTTTTAATAATGGATTTAAAATATTCCATTCCAGACTTTTATTTAATGGTACCAGGTTGTAAAGTTGCATGCATAATAATTAGAAAAGAATTAGGAAAAATGCTGATGTATACTAAATAATTATAAGATCAATTTTAAAGCAAAAATGTCATGCATACTTTGAATTACGTAGTATTTAAACAAATATGCAATCATTAAAACCTGCATGTATACTAATTTTATATATATATATATATATATATGTGGGTGCACTGTGTATAATTATTTTATATAAATAAATACACACATGTTTGTATATATTTAAGAAATATTTTCATGTATATACTGTATATAGATTTATATATACTTTATATTATATATAAATATTTTATATATAAATCATATTTTTTTCTTAAATATACATGCATGTGTGTGTTTTTATATATATACAAAATAATATACACAGTGCACCCACATATATTATGTAAACACAAACTTTTATTTTGGATCCGATTAATCGCGATTAATCGTTTGACAATATATATATATATATATATATATATATTAAAATACTTATGTTTGCTAATATTCCAAATTATTTTAACTCAATTGATATTATGTCATAAAACTATGCAAAATATGTTTATTTCCATGTATTATTGTATTATTTAATGTAGTCCAGCGATCATAATTGCATAATAATTAGAAAAGAATTAGGAAACATGTTTACTATTCCAACGTCTTTTAAGTAAACTTTTAATCATGTCATAAAAATAATTGTAAAATAATTATAAGATCCATTTTAAACAAATATGTCATGGAGTCTGAAATAAATTATATTTAATCAAATGCAATCATAAAACCTGCATGTATAATTATAAAAAAAATTCAAAGTACTAATGTTTGATGATATCCCAAATTATGCAAACAAAATGAAAAACTATTTATTTTCATGTAGTCTTCATTTCATAGTCAATTAATTAATATATCAGCTAATGTGCGATGCATACACAATTAGAAAAGTAAGTGGTTTTAGATTAGTTATCATATCATATTTACCAAAATGTAAATTATGCTCCTAATAATGTAAATTATGCTCAAAATAATCTCCCTTTAGTTGGTTTGCAACCCGCCAGTAAATCCACAGAAGAAGAAGAGTCTCGTCTCCACCCATGTGTCAATCAAAGCCCGGAACTACTTTCTGACGTATCAGGGGGCCAAAGGTCATCGAACATTCGCCTGCCACATACTCCTCTGTCGCACTTGTTTGTTTTTGTCCAAAAAAAGAAACCAACTATCGAAAAGAGGTGTGTAGCAAAACTTCTGCTTGATATTTGTGTATTTAGACGCTGTTTTAACTGCAATAATGGCTGAAAAGTGACGTTACGGGGAGGATAAATGCGGAGTTTGTCAGTCCGTCAGTCAAAGTACACCTTTGGCAGGACACTTTTGAATTCAAATGTCTTCTAATATGCTAAAAGTACATTTGCGCATTGTATAGCGTGCTTGAAAACATGCTTTGTGTGGGTTTAAAGTTGCAGCTCGCGCAGGCAAGGCTCTGACAGCACTAGCATGCTAATCAGCTTGGAAAAGTTTCTCAGGTTAGCCGTCTGCTAACGCGAGCTCGACACACTAACATGTCTGTTTATTTTGTAACATTATCTCTCTTTCCATCCCTGCAACATTTACAGCATTACACATTTTAAAATGATTCGTTTAAGTCTTAAGATGTGAGCATTTCGTTGGCTAGCAGGCTAATTAGCATCTGTGTCATCGTAAGGAACATGAGTGCGATTATCACAGCTCTTTTTGTGTAATTGTTGTTATGACAACAGGCAGTCGAGCTGATTTTATATGATTATAATCTAAAATGTCTATTTTAGTATTTCAGAGCTTTGAGATGTTGGTTTTTGTGTTTGTTTAGCAGCTAATTGTCGTAATGTGGATTGACCTCTCACACCTCTGAAGAGTTCCTGAATTAATTTGGAAACTGTATACAAGTATAAATGCGAATGTGAGACAAGTACATCGGCGTCTCTTTCAGACTGGAGTGTAGAGTTGGGTATAATAAGTGTTTAAGCCTCTGTAGACTGATAATATGGCATGTGTAAGCTAATAATCCTTAGCAAAGCTGCTAACACTGTTTGCACTTATATTAATATTGCACAAATAGATACAACAGCCTCCCGTTTTCTTTGTCTAATTCAATACTAATGTCTAAATCCTAGCTGTAATGCAAATTATCCATTGGGAAAGACTGCAAATGAATTGAAATTGAGTCTTTAACACATGATATTATCTATCAGAGTATAAGGTTGAGCATTAGGGGGAATAAAATTACAAAGTCTCGTATGGTTGGTCAAATGATGCAAAGGTACCATTTATAAAGCAGTTTTCATTGGCCAAGGACCATCCAGAGGCCTTCTGATTGACATCTAAAGCAGTTAGTTTTATTCAGTGCCATGTTTAGGGTGTGAAATGTAAAGTCGATGTCCCTACAATAACAGGCCGGCTGGACGTATTTTAAAGAGTCTATGCCGTGACCTTCACATACTTTAACGTTTATTTGTCGCTCATTATCACAGTTGTAAACATGAAAGCTTTCCTCTTCCATGAGGGCATTTGGCTTCACGACAGCTTCGTCGACACACACGTCTCCTAGAAATCTGGTCGACAATCAGATGACTGGAGTGTTTTCAATTTTGGGTGCCTTATGCCCAAATGAAAGATGGCCAATCATGGCGATTTCTGTGGTCGTCTCCTAAAAGGTGATCATATATGTCGTATATAGTGAGGGAGATGTTCAAAGACGGGGTTTGCGACCAAAGATAGCCTGCAATAATTTCTGACAGTCTCATAAATTTAGCATGATCATCTCACAGTGTGTTTGCTTCTACGACCTATGTCTACTGACTAGCCAATAAAAAGCAACATGAAATGGCGTATTGATCAACATGACACTTAAAACTACATTTATACAATTGGCATGCCTAGTTGGCCTCTTTTTCAGAGCCATAACTGTAATCATAGCCATAATCTCCTCTTTTTGACGATCACACGTTGATCTGATTGGTTACAAGGTCGTTTGTGACGTCAGAAACACAGATTTCAAGCCGTGTTTTTGAAACTGTCTTTGGTTTTAAGGAGGAAATACTCAGCAATGCTGTCCACTTATGAACTTACACACGGTTTATCTTAAAGCACATCAAAAACAGAATGAAAATTAGGGCCAAACCACCCAGATGCCTTAGGGTTTGCTAACTCTCCTCCTCCTATCACGAACAGGCTGATCGGACGGAGACATGGCTCGTCTGGTGGCTGTCTGCAGGGACGGGGAAGAGGAGTATCTTTTTCTTGCACGCCAGATTCCCTTGTACATCGATGACACACTCACGGTAAGATCATTTCATTGGTTTCGCATGTTCCTGGTATTATAGTCAATTGGCTAATACCTTCAAACCAGTTTTAGAGGTTTGCCTTTGCAAGTACCACTAAATACTTATATATGCTTACTGGATGCAAACTAGGGCTGCATGATTAATTGCAACGCGATTATTTTCTGTGCTGTTTGATGTTTGACGTGTGTTGCTTTTTCAGATGCACACTTTAAGTGACTCAAACTCACAGCGCTTTCGGACGTTTAAGAGCCGATCATCTGCGCATAAAACACATCGCAGCCTTTGCAATTTCACAATCGCGATAAGCCAAATCTGATCTAATCGTGCAGCCCTGATGCAAACTGAAGTCACAGACAGTGTTATGTTTGGAAGTGTTGTGTTATTTTGATTGTATACATGTTGTATTTTCTGTAGATGGTGATTGAGTTTCCTGACAGTGTTCTGGAATTTGACAGCTATCAGATCAACAGTTCACAAATGAAGCAGTTTATTGAGGTAAACAATGACATTTTCCAACCTTTCAAGAACACGTCTGGGTCATATTTCACCCTAAAACCAAAAATAAGAAATCGGAACATGTATTTTATTTTTATTTAAAGCTGCGTTTCCACAATGCTGTTTTCACTTTAAAACCTGGATCCTGAAAACGTGAATTTTTGAAAATGGTGACTTCATACACATGACCTGGCATCTGGGAACGGGGATTGTTTTGACAACGTTGTCGCCTGTGTGCAAAAATTACTAAGGAAAAACTCTATTTTTAGTACATTGTTGTAGTGTAAACATGCACCAAATCTGTAACATAAAAATGTTATTAAATAAAAATAGTAATATTCATGACAATTAAGCTACTGCACCATAAATCTCATTACTGTAATGCAACACAAAATCATTCCCCTTAGTGCAATTAAATTCGTACTGCTTTCAATTTGTTGATTTTAATAAAATATTTTCTTTACTGCTTCAAGAAATTAATGTCAGGATGCAACAAAAAAGGATCCTCAAAAAGATCCTGTTTTTCAACATTATTAATAAACATATTTTGAGCTTCATATCATTTTAAAATGCCTACACTCAGCATAAATCATTAAATTATTCTCTTACTAACAGCATTATATGCAGTATTAGATCGAAATGTGCAAAAAAAAACATTATTTTAAAATATATATTTGTGTAATATACACTACCAGTCATTGATAATAATCATAATCATTTCTTGATCATCAGATCCTCATATTAGAGTGATTTCTGAAGGATCATGTGACACTGAAGACTGGAGTAATGATGATAAATTCAGCTTTGATCGCAGAAATAAATTACACTTTAAAATATATTAAATTAGAAAGCAATTCTATTAAATTGTCATAATATTTAACAGTATTACTGTTTATTTGTTGTATTTTTAATCAAATAAATGCAGCCTTGGTGAGCAGAAGAGACTTCTTTCAAAAAAATTACTAATAAATGTGTAGTGGACAAATTGAATCATTTTTCCAGCTTGACACCCTGTAAAAAAATATTTTCAAGATTTGTCATCACAACATATTTTCTTTTGTCAAATCAACTTTATAATAATTTATTTAGTTGAGATAACTTATTATTTTGAGTTTCTGATGATTAAATTAATCTCCTTCATTGTATTAACTCACTTTTTCCAGTTCAATCAACTTAAAATTTTAAGGCAACCCAGGTTACTTAC